AGTGCAATAAAATCCCAGCACTTTGGGAAGAAGTAGGGTGATATTAAGTTGTTCAAAATAATCTTTTGGCCAACTAGTGAGTTTGAGGCCAACCTGGCTATCTCAGTCTCAATAGATAGATAGATAGATAGATAGATAGATAGATAGATAGATAGATAGATAGATAGATAGATAGATAGATAGATAAATTGAATTTTCTGCTGGCTTTTCTGCTAACCTGTGCAAATTTTGTCTTCTGGACCTGGGATCTGAAGACCTGGGATTGAGGCAGAATACAATCTAATGTTGTAAACAATCGTACTTCAGTTTCAGTGTACTTTTATTTAGGAATGCAGCAAAAAAAAAGCAATGATACAACTAAGGTTCTCTGAGTTCAGAGAAACATGTAAGTGAACATCAGTAAGCACATACTAACTATTAACAGAGCATCCCTTTCTCCAGAACCTTCTCAGGACAGACCAACTTTAACATAGTAGCCTGACACATATCATAGATTAAATCTGGAAAAGCACAAAAGAAAGGCAGAAGGCCATATCCAGATTCAGGGTCCATTTCTGACAGTATTCAGCATATCCTTTCACCATACGGGTTTCTAAGTTAGGTTCTGACATCCAACAAGGATGAATATGCCTTATAAATTGAATGTAAATGTTTGGCACAGGAGGCACGGAATCATGTCCAATAACAATCCAGGGAACAAAAACTCACTTGAGGTAAAAGGCCCTCTCCCTTTGATCCTGGAGCCTCTCTTACATTTCTCTAAGGCATTGTTCACCATGTATTTTGACCATGTTCCAACACTCCCCATTAACAAATAATTACATAACTCATATTACCCATTTTAGTAGTATATATATATGTAAGTAAGTATGTATGTATGTATGTAAAACCTTTCCTTCTTTTCAAGATTGTTGAAAGCATAGTTGCAAATCAAAAACTGCATAAAACTGTAATATATATTGTGATATTTGTATACTCATACGCACACACACACACACACACACACACACACACACATATGGAGAGTGAGAGAGAACTGGTATCCACAATCAAGCTTTTCAGCATGACTGTAACTTCTTTCCTCTTTGTGAGAAGGATATGAAAGATCTTCTCCCAGCAAGTATTAAGCATGCTACATATTAACCATCATGATACTGCTTTAATAAAGAGCTTTAGAACTTACTTGTCCTAAGTAAAACTGCATCCTTAGATAAGTCTCCAAATGAGTCATTTTTTTCTTTTACTTTGTAAAACTGCTTAATCTTGTATTTGGATGGAAACCTACTTAAGGTTCCCTTCCTAACATCTGAAGCTACAGAGGACCCGAGGTGCTTGATGACAAGTGGAGAAATTTATTCCTGCCTCTAACTTCCCAATGAAATGTTTTCTTAAACTAGCTGGCTGGAGACTACTCAGATTATCTCCAAATTGTGACCAGTGGGAAACATAAAACCCAAATGCCTAGAAAACTCATTAACTGTCTCTCTTTCACCAAGAGTTATGTCTTCCTGTTGAGTCTGGCTAATAAAAGTTGCAATTAATCTGAAAGAAAAAACTTGTGAAAGACAGAGGGAGTTTAAGTATTTACCCCCAGACTTTTTGACTTGGAGGCTATTTCTATTATCATTTGTAAGACAGCTGGGTCAGCCACTCCATCAGTTTAATTCCATGAAATTTAATTTATTCTGAAGCTACATAAATACCTACAAGGAGAGCCATATATGCCATAGAATTATGTCCTGAAACAGAGAAAAAGAAATAAATGCATTGTCATTTCATAGAAATGGGAGGGAAAACCCAAGATTTATAGTTATTTGACTCAGAAAGCAAGTTTGATACTTACACAGGCAGAAAAAAAAATTATTCTTTGTAAAAATGATGGGAATAGGTGATTATGCTATCTCATTTCTAGAAAAGGGAAAACAAAATTTCATCAGATCTGTTAAAGAATGCAGTCTCCATTATCTACATATTTGCCTGGAATACCTACACAGAATATGAGAAGAATGAAGAAAAATGTTGCATGATACTATTTAATGGCTATCTAATAATTCCGTTTCTCTGCCAAAAGGCAGAAATGCGACAGGCTATCAAAATCTAGTGCTTGAAGGCTAATAACTGCATTTCAACAGCTCAATCACGTGAATTACACCTGCCAGAACCCAGACAAAAATGACAGTTTCTATTTTCAGTCTACAAGTAGATTGTCATTTCCACTTCTATTTTATATGATATAAAATGAAGATTTAATTTAGCTAGCATTAAACAGAAAATATTGTTTGGGAAAGGCTTTTCCAAGGAAGCTATTCACACAGACTGCCATAATCTAGAAGCATTCAGTAACATCAAACTTTTTCTATTTATTTTATTATTTATTTACCTGCACTTTTTGCTAGGATTTCTGTGATAAAATACTGGGCCAGTTTGAAGAGGAAAGAGTTTAATTAATAGCTTAGAGTCCATCATTGAGACATGGAGAGGAAAGACATGGAAAGACAATAAGGCAAGAATTCAGAGCAGGAACCTAAAGCCGAGATGATGGAAGAGCACTGCTTTTTGGCTTGCTCCCCATGGCTTGCTCAGGTTGCTTTTTTCTACAACCCAGAACTGCCTGCCCAGGAACAGAGGTACTCACAGCGGGCAGGGTCTTCCTACTTCAATCATTACAGCAGAAAATTCCCCACAGGCCAGTCTGAGGAAGATAGTTTCTTAGCTGAGGATCCCTTTTTCCCAGACGACTCTAGTTTTTGTCAGGGTGACAAAAAACTAACTGGTGCAATCGGTCCTGTGCATGTGAAATGACTGACATCTTTAGACTACTGAACTAAATATTGGTAATTCCTTACTCGCATCAGTTTGTGAACCTCTTCTAAAGTTGAGATTATCCTATTGCAGTCCATTACCGTTATTTCATATGTCTAAGCAACTGATATCAAACAAGGAGTTAATAAGTCAAGGTTGGGCCTTCTAAAAGGTGAGACAGAACATTTTTTCCATGTGTAGAGATGTAATTTTTTTTCAAAGAATTATTTGTTTCATTTTATTTTCTTATGTGTACGAGTGCTTGCCAGGATATATGTGTAACAAGGGTGTGCCTTGCGCCCACACTGGTCAGAAGAAGGTGTTAGATCCAGAGAGCTGGAATTATAGATGGTTGTGAGAATCCATGTGAATGGTTGGAACCAAACCTGGGTTCTTTGAAAGATTAAAAAATGTTCATAACTGCTGAAACATCTCTCCAACCCCCATGTGTAGGGGTTTAAAAATTTACAGAGAACTACTAACCAAAGTGCAACAAAGTAGACGATTATTTTTGTGGTACATATCGATGATAATTACCCACACTTGAATGAAAGGCTCATGAATTGATGGCTAGTTTGATTTAAATTTGGTTCCTCTTAGGAAAAACTCCATGATAAAGAATGTTAATATCAAGAAGAGGTGAAGCTTGAGTTAATATCAATTCCATTCTGTTCCATTAAATAAAAAAAGTGGTTTAGTTAAGAGCTAGAAACCCATATTGTGAAATTTTAAAACAGTAACAACTTAGATTAAAATTAAGCTTTTATTCTCTTCTCAAACTTATTAAAATCAATTTGGTAACTGTTGTTTTTTTTAAGCAAGATGCTCAAAAGAGGGAGAATGTTGTTGATGGCATTTTTGGAAGGTTCTGCAAGAGACAAGATAATGAAAATATAGAAGAATATGGGAAGGTTGAAGTCCAGAATGTAAGGAGGGTTGTGTCAACGACACTGGATAAAAGAACTTTTGGTGTCCTGAGCTGAATAGGCACAGTTACATTGGTGGTTGACTGGCAATGTGTAAATCCCAGAGTGGCAGTCCTCGCTATACCGCTCCAGAGCGGGAGGCTCTGCAGTGTTCACAGCAACGATGGAATCGCTGTGCAAATCTGATGTGTTAAGAAAACACTTTAGGTCTTCTGCATTTGCTAGACTTTAAACTAACAGACCATCTACTCCTATCGAGTAAAGCCCATTTTTACCTTGGGATGCTTTCTGGCTTTTAATGTTTTAAAATTATAAGTTTTCTTTTTCTTTTTTTTTTTTAAAGGAAAAAGTATCTTTTTCTTTTTCTTTCATTTCATTGCCATATGGGAATTTTGAAAAGCAGTTGGAAGTTTCTCTGGAGTGGCCTTAAATCTGTTCATTTGGCCTTCTATAAATAACAAGATGAGCACACCCTGGCATGGAGTAGATTGGGACGCTGTCTCTAAAATTTCTCCAGAAAATGATATACCTCTTGGAGTTCTGTTGGTTAGTTATTAGCAGGAACCAGATGGAGAATTGCACTCTCTCCCCAGGACACTAATAGAAACAAGTTCTGAGATTTGTTTCTCAGTTTTCCTTGCTGAAATATGTTCTAACACAACCTTCAGGGCTCAAATTATCCTGACATTTCTCTATGCAGCAGTCACTATGGCCTTAATGTAATTAGGTTAAAAAAAAAACAAAAAAAAAAAAACAACTTACCTCAATTACTGTATTTAAGCTTTATATTCTTTGCAATGTGCTACACAACCAAACTCCCTGGAATGTCAAGGCCATTTCCTGAGCTAAGGTTGAAACTCAGACTGTCAGACTTTACTGAAATGGCTTCCAGCTTTGACCTTTACAAGGTGTGAATGATTGTCACAGATGATAGGGCATAAAGGTTAAAAAAAATAACAAGCTCTATAGTGGTGATATTTTAGAATTAGGACACATTTTCCCTAGTCTCTCTATTTTCCCCAAGAGATAATATGCCTGATTCTAAGACTAAATAAGAGTTATCTGTATATAATTTAAATTTTTCATATCATTTCTCTATCTTCTTTAAATTTTGAAATCAGTAATTTACTTCATGAAGACAGCTAACAACCCTTGCTTTTGAACGTCTCTACACACTACATTTTTTCACAGGTAAAAGGTAGTTTAGGTACAGCCACTTAGCACAAAGTCCCATGTGTGGTTATTTACGATGAAAATACCTTTCTTTGATAGATTTTAGCAAGGAAAACAGTGCAAATGATGCTGATGATTCTACCGATACAATAAGACGTTATCAGAGTTCCAAGAAGCATTTTGAAGAGAAGAAAAGCAGATCATCATCATTCATCTCCTCCATCGATGATGAACAGAAGCCGCTCTTCCTGGGAACAGTAGATTCTACTCCAAGAATGGTGAAAGAAACCAGACTCCAAGGTGAAGAAACAATAGCCCCCTCAGGAAGAATTCACACAGACAAAAGGAGTCACTCCTGCAAAGGTATCCAAGCATCCAAGGTCTCTCTTACTGGATGGGAAAGGGTTGCTTTTCAAAAAAAAAAAAAAAAAAAAAACCTGCACAAGCCAGGGTTCCTCTAACCCTTTCAATTCATGAAATGTTTAAAAAGTCTTCAGATTTAAGATTGTGTGCATAAAGTGTTTGTGTAATGCCACAATGTTGTTTGCCAAAATTTTATGCTTGAGGTATTTGTGACCAAGACGACTTAGTGTAAGACTAAGCACAGCTCTGTGGGTGGTTTGTTGAAGCTGAAGCTAGGAAGAGAGGATCAGTGACTATTTGCTGAGAGCTAACAAGTCAGGTATTTTGTTTGTTTGGTTTGGTTTTGGTTTTCCAAGACAGGGTTTCTCTGTGTAGCCCTGGCTGTCCTGGCACTTGCTTTGTAGACCAGGCTGGCCTCATACTCCTATAGATCTGCCAGCCTCTGCCTTCCAAGTGCTGCCATTAAAGGCATGAGCCACCACCATCCAGAAAAAGTCCGATTTGTATATGTACCCTCTGTACCAATTTCTTACCTTCATCCTAATAACTTTATAATATGAAAGCCCCATCCAATCAGAACACTTTAAATTAAACAGAATTGCATTTTACTGTGAATTATAAGGAAGAGAAATATTTTGAAATAAAATAGAGTCTTGCAAACAATCTTGTTTCACATCTCCTATGGAAGAAATAACCAAATGTATAAGATTTGTTCTAGAAAATACACAAGAGCTGGGGAATATGCTTGTTTTTTAAAATTTTATGATAAAATAGAGAAAACAGGAACATTTTTTAAAATGCTACCTGGAAGAACAATCAATGTACCAGGGCTATATCTCTAGCTAGATCATCCTATTTAGGTGAACTCAGAGCTGTGGGTCAGACTGCTGGAATTCTAAATACAGCTCTGCTACCATTTATGACTTTGGGTAAATGATTTGACCAACCCAAGGACACATCTTATGCATATTTAAGATAGAAATAATGTCATCTAACCAACTGATTATGATTATTAACCAATATACAGATTATTAATCTGTAAATAATTTTTTCTAAGATCAAATCTTGAGCCCTATTTAATATTTTCTACTAGGTTTTATTTTCCAGTTCTTTCCCTGTTTAATTTAGAGGTGAAAATTAAGTAGGCATCGCATAGGACTAAATTGGTGGCTCAGTGGTTAAGAGCATTTGCCACCCTTGCAGGGGATCTGGTCAACTCAGCTCCCCCATCCATCTAGTGGTACACAAAGTGTGTGTAAATCTAGCTCCAGGGGATGCAATGTCCTCTTCTGCCCTCTACCTTCACATGGTACACGTAAAGACAAACAGTACACACACATATACACATCAATACGTATGTGTGTATCTAGTTAGAGACAGTAGCACAAAACATCGAAAGTTTGTAATGAAAATGAAGAAAACTAGGATGTTTTGCTTGGGAGAATAGAAAAGTATGTCACTGAGAAGGTAGATATTACTTATCACCATCCTTCCTCAGGAATATCCAACAGCAAAGTGTTGTTGAGTACAAGATGGTTCAGTTCTTGGCTTTATTACATCACATCACTTTTGCCATGGTTTCATAGAGCAATAAGCTAAGAATATATGCAAATGTCCTCTAGACTACCTAAAATCTTGATGAAGTACATGGAAATAGTACCTCATACATCACAGTGGAAGAATAGAATATTAGATGTGATTATCAAATGTCCCATTTTAGTTATTTATGAAAATGGATTCTGGGCAGTACTAAAAATAGAAACAGGTTGTATCCTGAGAGCCAAAGTTCTGAAGAACTGGCTGAACAACATTCACTATATGCAAAATGATTTTATGATGGTTTTTGTAAAAACATGTTTTCTTCTTGAATATTAGGCTCTCAAGTGGCAAGTCATTAAAGATATTTTTGAGATTTTATTTGACTTTATAATGATTCTCTCTGACAGTGAATTCAAATACCCTTCAATTTTATAATTTTACTTCTTCCAACTTTTAATTAACTCTTCTCTGTGCCCAACAAATTATATTTTCAAATGATTTGAGCATCTCCAAATATCCATGTTTTCAAAAAAAATTGATAATGTACTCCACATTCAAGTCATGAATAATTATCTTGATAATGCATAGCTAACTATGCATGTCTGTTAATGAATGAAATTGATGACATAAAGCTTCAGTCAAGATGACAGGCATTTAACATGACTAACTATTACAATTAACCAAGGAAGAATTTGAACACTTGATTCACTGTAACTTTCAAAGTGCGATGCTGGGTGATAGTAATGAACTGAACTTGTGAGGCTAGCTGTAACTACTGCAGGTTGACCTGCTGGATGCTGACAGTCTATTTCATTACCAATAGGCAGTTTCACTCCCTTGTGTCCTGGCACTTATCATTCCAAAGAAGGACTCATTTAAGCAAAGCTCATTAAAAAAAAAAATTAAATTGACTCTGGCCCTCCTGATGTTAAGGTGAAATATAGACTCTAGTGGAACTGTAAACCCTGCAAGTGAAGGTTTACCCTGTTCATCCATTTGCAGAAATGTGTCTTGCAACTATAGCAACATTTTCCAAGGCAACCAAGTGCAGATACTGTCTGAGCTATTTTTAGAAAGTGTCATACAAGGATGCTCATTTGATTAAGACAGCTTAGCCAGGGTTTCCCCCTTTGAACTTTTTATTTTTCATACCGCCATTAAAACAAGTTAATCACATATCTCCATATTTTAATTAAAAATTAAATTATAAGCAAGGAAGCCTCAGTTTCACGGTACTCATTTTATTCATTGCTGCTAAGATAATCCTTTCTCTTAAAGCATCAAAGAAAAATACTGTCCTTCATAATTTATTGCATGTGATTCACCAATGTCATTTAAAAATCAGTGTGTTTCATGATTGCAACTGAGGGAGCTGTTAAACAGAAGCAGAGGTTCAAGGCAGTTTCTTAGCGCAAACTCATGAGGACATCACATAGCTTTCAATGCTATCAGTTCTCATTCTCTTTAAAGAAATGTTCCTGCATGAACTGGATACTGGAAAACAAGAGGGGCATGGTTCCTGGCATCACCAAACAACCTGTGCATGGTCTACATGCTGATTTAACATCACCAACACAGAGTATAAAATCTAATGGCTTTCCATTTGGTTCAAATATCTGAGAACAACAAATCATACTTCTTGGTGAGAACCTGCAGTTTCACTATTGAAGTCATATTTCCTCCTATCCGGTAAATGTGAAAATAAACAAGATACTGTCACTGTAGAAAACACCAAACACAGAGGTCCTGCAGGTTAAGGATGCCATAATCTGGAACCTTCTCTGGATGGCTCAGGGAAATCTCTGAGGTCTGCTAACCTTTTCCACAAAACAAGGAACCTGGCCTTGCTTTTCTCATGCTGTCTTTGGTTATGTTAATTTCTTCCTTATAGCCTCCCCTACTGAGATAGAAATAAAAAGCACATCATTAGAGACATTCTCTTGCATTCAATGGTAAAAGATAGGGAGAGAAAGCCCATGCAAAAAAGAATAGATTTTTTTTTGTCGTCTGCTTAGAAAGGGGAAGTACAATGTGCCCTCCAGTGTGCTTTCAGAGAAGCCATAGGAAAGGAAGGCTCACAGCTCCATTCCCTATTTCTAGACTCATAGCTAATCCTACCTAATTTAGTTACTTTCCGTCCAAAAACATTTTTTTAAATAGCTCAGGATGTAAATTCCATATCTTTATGTAATAACTTTCCTTGCCATTTAATCATAGCTACTTGTCAAGGCTTTCTTTTAAAGTGTCTATCAAAACCAAAATCACATTCTATAGCCCACAGTTACTTCCATGGGGAAGCAAAGACCCTCTTGAGGTACCTCCCTCCCAACTGCCCTCCCATGAAGGAAAGAATTTGCTCCTTTTTTTTTCTTTTCCCTCCGAAATAACCTCCCAAATCCAAATCCAGTTGAGTTTTTTTCTCTGATTTTATTTTGTAACCGTTTAAATTATTTTGTAGAAGAAAGTGGGTTCAGAGTACTAAAAGTCTTGACAAAAGTGAGGAAGAAAGTAATATACATTCATCTCTAGCTACCAATAGCATAAAAATGGAGATTTGAAAGAAAAACAGTAGTAGAAGAAGTTCATAAAATGAATTTTTATAAGAAAAAGTAATCACCATCCTTCTCAAGTGAATTCTTCAAGGTCATACATAGCCTATGCCTTCAATTCGTCCATGCTTAGTGCCTGGAACTTAACACCTGACACATCAGAAAAGTGGAATTGAACACATAATCAGTTTATTTAAAGTATATTAACATAAAACCATTTTAAATAAAAGAGTCACAGGAAGAAAACTCTAGAATGCAATGTGATTCTATTAAACATGGTGCAAAAGGACCTTTAAGGAGGTTGAAAGTCTGGAAGAGCTCAGACCTTTAAGAATTCTCACCTCTGAGAAACTGGGCTCCTTGGCTCTGAGCTCTGTTGGCCTGAAAACATGCTGAAGACTCTTGACCGTTAAAGCTGAGCCATAATATGTGAAAATTACCTTATGGGTAGGGGTCCTAAAAAAATCTTACATTTTGGGTAAAGCATTGCAAACAAAACTTCCTATTTTCTTCCAAATTCAATAGCGTGAAATCACAGCTGTCTGATCAATTTGAGTTGGTTCTTCATGTCTTCTCAGCACTAACAAAAAGATAAAAAGAAACCATAACCAAGTATCATGACTGTTTACAGAATTTGAATCTTGGGAAAGTAGATGTGGGAGGTAAGACAGGCAGGTTAAGGCTAAGATTCTGCTATGAACTGGAGATGGTGATTGTCATATCCTTGAAACCCTTTGGTTCTCTCTGTGTTAGATTCTGCCTGGAGATCCTTCCAGTATGCCTGCCTTGCTAGTGTCTTTGTATTTTTGGAGTTTCCAAAGAAGCTGACATCTGTCTTGCTCTCTCCCACAGATATCACTGATCCTCACAGCTGGGACAGAGAGCATGCCCGGGCTCAACCAGAAGAATGCAGTCCCTCAGGAATTCAGAGGGCTGCCTGGGGCATCTCTGAAACAGAAAGTGACCTCACCTACGGGGAAGTGGAGCAAAGGTTAGACTTACTTCAAGAACAACTTAACAGGTAAATCAGTGGTTGAAGAAAAAGAGGATTTTGTTATGTACACTATTATATAAATAGAGAATATCAAAGAACACTAAGTTAAGATTCTTTTGCCACCAATATCCTACTTTTGCTTATCATTCCATTTGTATATCATCTGAACTGGTTACCTTAAAAACTCCTTATGCATTCAAAGTTATTGAGATTTCACTTATTAGCTAACAACCCTCTTCTGTTCATCCTTGTTTACTATTTAGTTCTTATTCCTAAATTACTCCTGTGCCGTGACAGATTATTCAGTCAAATTTTCAAAAATGTTAATATTTCTAAATCTTCACAAATTAAAGATAAGAGGCTCTGTTTCCACCTTCTCCTTCTATCTAGACAATATATTATGATGAATTATTTTGGTTTGGGGAAACACTTTACTCAAGTCTTTATTCAACTTAAAGTTATTGGTCAAAAACATCTAGAAGAAACAGACCAGTCTCTGAGATCCTAGCCTGACTAATCTACATAGCCAATTCCGGACAAGCCAAGGATACACAGTGAGACCCTGTCTCAAAAGTAACATGAGGAAAAAAGAAACAGAAAAAGAAAAAAGCCACCCTGAGTGTGTTTGGAAATTTGCTTAATGCAGTGTTGACCTTCAGTTACACCATTCAGCAAGGTATCTCTGAGGCCACAGCAGATTTATTAAATAGAGGGAGAGGAGGTGATTAATACATTTCCTTCAAGCCTGATAAAAAGGAATGCTTTCTGAAAACCTCATTGAAGAACTTTGTCGTCTCTGACACACCAGCCTTCCATGTCTGTACTGTGGACACAAGAACAAGAGTTGAGGTTTCCCTGGGTTGCCCCATGGACAAAAACTTAACTTCCAAATGAATGGTATCTGTTAGCTCTGGCGCAGAGTTGAAAGGCCTGGAATACCATGCCATAGCTGTTGCTCTTCAGTTAGCGTCTGCGACGGTCACAGGATTTAATGGGCTTTTACCGACAAAGAACGTGAGGAGCCATAATAACATTACATCAAGTGTAATTAAAAGTTGGCTTAATTTGGGGGAGAAAATTATCACCCCAAGGCTGCCAGGATAGTAAGTTCTTTTTGTCTTTTATAAGTGCCCAGCTTCCTTGTTCCATCACACTTCCATTCAATCTTTCATACAGGGTGCTTTTACATAATGAGTGTATGCATCTATATTTTGTCCAAACTACTTGTTTACTCATCTAGTCTCAATATATCTATGAGTTTTATCCATATGACATAAATTACTTGCTTATAGAATGGTCTGGATGTGGTGAAACTCCCACCTAGCTTTATATGCTAAACACCGATCCCCAGCAGGTGATCCTGTTTCAGAGATTATACAACTTCCTGCTCTATCTCTGCCTCCTGGTCTACCCAGACATGAGCAAGCAGTTTCAGGCACCTGCTGTCACAGCTGAGAGCCGTCCTTACTTTCCTGCATTCTGTGGATGTTCACATACGAACAGCCCTCATAGACTTGTGTGTTTGAATGTTTGGCCCATGAGAAGTAGTACTCTTAGGAGGTACGGCCTTGCTAGAGTAGGTGTGGCCTTGAAGGAAGGGCGCCACTGTCGAGGGCAGGCTTTGAGGATTTATATGCTCAAGCTGTGACCAGTGTGGCACACAATCTCCTTCTGCTGCTTATAGATCAAGATGTAAAACTCTTAGCTCTTTCTGCAGCACCGTGTCTGCCTGCTTGCTGCCATGCTTCCTGCCATGATGATAGTGGACTGAACCTTTGAACTGTAAAGCAGCCCCAATTAAATATTTTCCTTTATAAGAATTGACATGGTCCTGATGTCTCTACACAGCAATAAAACCCCAACCAGGACACCTTCCTTTCCAGGATAGACTGTACCCTCAAACTGTAAGCCACAATAAACCTCCAGTTCTTCAGGCTGCATCTGGTCAGGTAGTAGATCACAGCCATGAGGAAGTAGCTAAGATAATTTGCTTACTATATGTGTAATTTAATTCTACATTTTTTTGTTTATGTTGGTAGTTGTTGCTCTTCTTGGGAAAGAAAGCAAGTAAATGACAGAGACAGCAGTGATTTAATTAGCACAACATAGTGTTCAGAATTGGTTAGCTTAGGTCAATGATTCTCAGCCTGTGGCTTGTAACCACTCAGGAGTCACATATCAGATATCCTGTATATCGTATATTCACATTACAGTTCATAATAGTAGCAAAATTGCAGATATGAAGAGAAACAAAATAATTTTATGGTTGGGGTTCATCATAACATGAGTAACTGTATTAAAAAGTTATAGCATTAGGATGTTGAGACCCACTAGTCCAGGTGATCTTATCTGTGTTCACTAAACTATTTATAGGCTGACTGGATAGAGTCATCTAAACATCCCTAGAATAATTTTTTCATACTTATCAGCAACGTTGTTGTTCTTTTACAGCCATATCTTGATATCCACAAAGGATTGGTTCCAGGATATCACTTAGGCACCAAAATCCATGCATGCTTAACATTGTATGTAAAATAACATCCTATATCTAAACCATCTCCACATGACCTTAAAGCCTAATACAGTGTAAAAGCTCTGTCTGTGGTTGTTAGACTGTATTGTTTAATGAACAGTAACAAGAAAGCATTTCTACGTCTAGTACAAATTCTTCTAGGACAAATACAAATTCTTCTAGACAGAGAACTTAAAAATAAAGTCTATTTGAACATAGAGATTACACATGCTGTACAAAACAAAGACTACGTGTAGCTAGGTAATGCTTAATTATCATTTTACTTCATCTGTTTTACTGGCATTCTCTTGCTTCATATAATTTTCTAGGTTTGTACCAGTCTTTGAGACTAAAATCAAAATTATTGTGTTCCTCTGTTGTCTAGTCATAAGTACCAGTAATGTTTATAAGATATCTACAGACTACTAAAAAAATTGTTTTCTATGTGTCCCAGGACTTAAAGTAGAAACTTTTAAGTATATACAGCAAGAACACATTTGGGTTTAGCCATCTATTAGTAATAATATTTATTGTTTTCTTATATTAGCATATTTTAACATATTTTTCACTGACAAAAATAGGACTAAATCTCTTTCCACATGCTCTGCAAGTGCTTTCTGGGTGTGTTTTGAATAGTTATTAGTATTCTTCTTAACTATTTTTTTAGTTATCTCTGATATCTTTGTCAACATTTTATGGCATAAGTCAGCTTAGCCAATTTTAAAGTTCAAAACATCATGTTTTTAATGAAGCCCACCTTCGACATCTTTTTCTCCAGTTTTTTTTGTACAAAGTAAAACATATAGGAAACAAAATCGAGCAAATCAGTCTAACTCAGACTGTGGTGTGCAGAGTGAGAGTCCCAGTACTCGCCCGAAAGTTGGATCTACCCTGGTTGACATCTATTCAAATGCAGATCTGTGAATTCCTATATTGCTGTCCAATCCAAATCCAAATGTTAAATCTAAAATACAAACAAAACAAGTATAAATATGAAATATAGAATATAATCAAAAGAACACAAATAATATACCTTGAGTGGTCTTTGCTGCGTCTTTTTTTTTTTTTTTAACATTAATGACCAATTAAGCTTCATGGAAGCTTAAGGGTTTACCTAAGTGTTCTTAGATATTTATATAGCGTTTATATGTATATATTTATATAAATGTAAATTTATATAGCATATAAATAAATATAGCCTAGATCTATATTATTATATTATATTATATTATATTATATTATATTATATTATATTATATTATATTATATTATATTATTAATCATATTCATTTAGATATTACAAGTGCTTGACCCCACAGCAGAGCTTCTCTGGGTACGTTGTAGAACTACAGATTAAACGACAGTAGGTCTGGAGTTTGCAGAGTCCACACTTGAACATGCTGCCAGGGAAACTCAGTGACTCCAGACTTAGGAGCCCAGTTTAATGACCTGAGAAATGCAAAAGTTGTTGGCAGCAGCCTTTCCATTGCAGAACACACAAAGCAATGTATCTGTCAGCCACTATCATGATATTGAGTACTGCTGCAATTTATTATCTGTGTCCTTTGCTTTCTTTCTTTCTTTTTTTTTTTTTTTTTAGTGCTTGTGTGGTGTGTGTATATGCACATATCCATATATGTGTGCATGTATAGAGGTCCAAAGTTGACTCTAGATGTCATTCTTAATTATTTTCTACATTATATATTCACCCAGCTGAACTCAGAACTTGTCAGTTGGCTACCATAGCTACCCAGGTTTTTCTGGGGAGATCCCTTCTCTGCCTCCTGAGTGCTGGAACTAAAGATGATAGCCATATCTGCTCAGATTTTCATGTGGGTTCTGGGAATTCAAAATCTTTTCCTCAGACTTGTCCTGCCAATAATAGCACAATTATTATTCATCATGTTATTCTCATCTCTCTTTCCTTCCTATGCCAGATTGAGAACACACCTTTGAGTGAAAGTATTCTTTTTTAATATAATTTTTATTTATTACAATTTATTCACTTTGTATCTCAGCTGTAGCCCTACCCTTGTTCCCTCCCATTCCTGCCCTCCTTTCCTCCCTCATCTCCTCTCATGCTCCTTCCCCAGTCCACTGATAGTGGAGAACCCCCTCTCCTTCCATCTCACCCTAGCCTATCAGGTCTCATCAGGACTGTCTTTCTCTGTGGCCTAGTAAGGCTACTCCCCACTCAGGGGGAGGTGATCAAAGAGCCAGCCACTGAGTTCATGTCAGAGACAGCCACTGTTCCCCTTACTACAGCACCCACTTGGACCCTGAGTTGCTACAGCCTACATCTGTGCAGGGAGGGGTTCTAGGTTATCTCCATGAATGGTCCTTGGTTGGAATATCAGTCTCAGAAAAGACCCCTACGCCCAGAGTTTATGGTTCTGTTGTTCTCCTTGTGGAGCTCCAGACCCTTCCAGGTCTTTCATCTCCCCCTTCCTTCATAAGTTTCCCTGCACTCTGCCCAAAGTTTGGCTATGAGTCTCAGAATCTGCTTTAATATCCTGGGTAGAGTCTTTCAGAGGCCCTCTGAAGGCTCATGTCTTATTCCTTATTTTCACCTCCTCCCAATGTCTATCCCATTTGCCTTTCTGACTGAAGATTGAGTATCTTACCCAGGGTCCTCCTTGCTTATCTTCTTTAGGTATATAGATTTTAGTATGATTATCCTATATTATGTCTAATACCCACTTATAAGTGAGTATATACTGTGTGTGTCTTTCTGCTTCTGGGATAGCAAGTGAAAGTATTCTTTTTACTAGTTAAAACAAAACAAAACAAAATAAACAAACAAAAATCCATCTAAAACTGGGCTATTTTGTGTTTTAAAAATAAAAGGGGAGGGACTTCAGTTTAACTCCCTATAATTCTTTTAAGTACTTTATTTAGTCTCAAAAGATTCCATTCTAATCCAGCAAGTAGACCTGGTCATAAAATGAAAGTAAATATTATGCATTGTGAAGACACTTATTACCATACCATCTTTTGCTGAAATGTCCAACCCAAATATTAATCACCTAACTCATTTTTAAAATCTTGAAAACATTATATAGATATTACATACATGACTATATATATTTAAGAATATATATCATATATATGACTATACTTTATATATTTAGGAATATATGTGTACACATAATATAATACACATATATGCATGTGACAACTAATAAAAAAAGAGGCCGTGGATTTGAAAGTAAGAAGGAGTATATGGGAAGGTTTGGAGGGAGAAAGAGCAAGCCAAAATGATGTAACTATATTATAATCACAAAGAATAAAAGAAATAATTTTGTAAAGTGTTTAAAGTGATATAGGAAAGGAGATTGAATTATAGTCAGCAGCATTAAGTCTCAGAAAGGGCACTATGAAGTGCAATGTTCATAGAACACTGTGGTCTGTGCTTTTGAGGTAGGGAACTGTATTGATTTTTCCAGGCTGTGATAAATATGCTAAAAGAGCAATTACAGAGGAGGGAAGTTTTACTTTGGCTCACGGTTTGGACATTGTCTTTTGTGGCATGTTGGGCTGTGATGAGGAATAACACAATGGCAGAAAAACATGGTTGACACAGCTGCTATCTCATGGAACCCAGGAAAATAATAGAAAGGTTCCTGGAATACAAGACAGCACCCATGGATACACTCTCAGTGACATACTTCCTCCAACTCAGCTCCAAAGATGAAGGTTTCCTTTGATTCCCAGGAGTGCCATCAAATTACATATCTACATGATTAGGTTGGAATGCTTGTGATCAAAGCACTTCTCTATGACTGGATTAACTGCTTAGAATCAATCCTCCAACACTGGAGGCTTCTGGAGATATAATTTATATCCAACCCACAAAAAAATTGTGTTAAATTCATGATATAACACTTTGGAATTGATGACCAAAGAGAGGTGAGACACCCATCAGAAGACTTGACATGGTGTGATGAGAAAGCTGTTCAGATGAACTGATTTGTAGACATTTCTGTGCTGATAAACCTAGTTCTTGACTTTGTCTCATTTTTCTTAAACAAAATTTCCTTGCAACAAATGGCTATGTCAAGTTGATAAAGACAGTCTATAGTCATATCTAAGTGGAATTAACATAAATTAATTTCCATTCTCACTCTACACCAGCCACTTTACCTGATATGATGTTCTCATGTGATTAAATCCCACACAGCAGAAGACTGCAATTATTGGGCATATGGCTACTGAAGCTTTACCTTCCTGTGACTCTGTCTGGAATAGACATTATTTAAATAGAATCTATTATAAGGAGTTTTTTTTTTTTCTCAGAAACTGCTGATGTTTAACAAAGGCTTTACAGGACTCAGAAATATCATCATCTTGAATCCAACTTGTCAATGAAGCTTTTATTCCAGTATCCACAGCTAAGCCATTTTACATTCAGTGGTATAGTGGCAATGATACTAAAGAGCATTGTACAAATACTCAAAAGATGTCTGAATTTAGAATTCTATTTCAGGGCTTGGGAAAAAGGGAAACTGTTATGGGGATCTCACCAAAGATGACCACTCAAACACAGTGTATAGCAATTGAAAGACTTTATTCCAGGCTGCTGGGCCCAAGCCCAAGTGGTTGGGGATCTACGTGTGGCCCCTAATGTCTGGAACATAGGGAGAAAACACAGGGGGCTTTGCAAAAGCAATCCGTTTAACAGAAGCCAAGATCAGTTAGCTAGGACACCCTGGCCTTTGGTTCCTAGAACAGAGCAGGATACTTTTTCATGGGATTCTCCATCAAAAAGATCAACTGTACTTAAACCAGAAATGGTCTCAACAAGAATACAAAGGGAAAAAACTTTGCATTGTCTTGCCCCTTCACGAAATAATTCTGAATAATTTAAATGAGAGAAAAAATTTGGCACAGATAAAATTTGAGTTGGACCTTAAAGTATGAAATGAAAAACCAATTCATAGCAACAAAATAATCGTTCTGTTCCATTTAACTTATATCACAATTACATAAGACATTTAGGCATCAGCTAGTTAATAACTGTATTTTTCCATTTTCAGTGTGCAACAGTGACATATGACACAATCAGATGTATTTTATAAGCTATTGGAATGAGGAATACTAAGGCACTATCTGGTTATATTTAACAATGAAAGAAAATCTTAAGAATATATTATATTTCAGAAAGAATTATTTCAGATGTTAATATTAAAAGATAATAAGAACCTAATATCTGACATACCTGTAATCCCATTAACTCCAGACATCTGAGGAGAAGAAGTAAGTGTGGGCTAGACTGGCTTCCCCACAGAGGGAAATAATCTCTCTCTCTATATTTTTTTTTCTAAGATTTATCGCTTTCTTACTTAATTCAATGGGAAATCTCAAGCACAAATGTGATAATTCAAAGAACATTCTTAAAAGGCATATGGTCCAAATTTTGCTCTTACACTCACAAAATCCCTTTTCTTAAGCCGTGCACACAGAGGAATCAAACTGTATGTGAGGGTTTCAGAGCCAGACATATGTGAGGGGGCTTAGTAAAGTAACTGTTTGCATGAACAGTCCATGGTTTGGTTAAGGGGAAGTGTGTGTGTGTGTGTGTGTGTGTGTGTGTGTGTTTGAGAAGCATCTGAAATAGTCCAGACAGAGCAGCAGATTGGATGAGGGTGTTGGGGAGAAGAGCAGGGGATAGAGTATAGAAAAAGCATGAGTCTACCAGGAGGAGCAGAGAACAGAGGAGCCTAGTGAGAAGAGCAGGAGGACAAATTGTTGGGTTAGAAGAAGGATGCTGTAGCTGGAGGGAGTATAGGGTAGAGGAGAGAGTGAGAAAGGCTAGAATGCTCATAGGCTTTGAGGTGTATAAACAACTACTTGTGAGGAGAGACTGAGGGAGCCTGGAGGCTACCTTGATAAGCTGATAGGTTGCCAGACGGATATTTTAACTGGAGAGCCATAAGTCCCTTTTGTTGGAGGTAAGGGAAATGATTCCTTCTGGCAGATGGGAACTGGTTTCACAAGTTCCTGAGGAATGCTGGCTTTTATCTAACAGCAAGAAATCTTCCTATGGTCCAGTTTGAGATCTCTTTCAGATGTTTGGACTGCTTTTGGAGTTTGGGAAATTGTGAGTTTCCTTCAGACCTAGCACAAACCAATTGTAATTTGCCATTTTCTCTTGAATTTTATTGTAAAGTGAGTGAGTGGTTGACTACTTGTGAGATTTGGAAAAAGCAAATGTTGTTTGTACATAGTGCAAGCCCTATGGCTCACAGAAGCAAGTAAACTTTGCTCTGTCTCTTAAGTACTAAAGCTCGGGGGCACAGACAGGAACAAAATTTAATGTTCAACAGCACCAAACAGTTAGAGAGACAGAGACAGAGACAGAGACAGGGAGACACAAAAGAACAGGCAGGAACCTGGAGGCAGGAGCTGATAACAGAGGCCCTGAAGGAACACTGCTTACTGGCTTGCTCCCCATAGCTTGGCTTGCTCTGCCTGCTTTCTAATAGAATAAAAGACCACCAGCCTGGAGATGTCCCCACCCAGATCAGACATTTAAGGAAATTACGTACAGCCAATCTTATGGAGGCATTTTCTCAATCAAGATTCCCTCCTTTCACGTAACTCTAGTTCGTGTGTCAAGCTGACATAAGCTAGCCAGCACATAGCGAAAATACAAATTTTGTAAGATGTTTTCCTAGGATGATGTACTCAGAAACATGTTACTCAATTCTTCTTTGAAGAGAAGGAAAAGAAAAACTTCACAAAGAGTTGACTGAAAACCTAATCAAACTCAGATAATTATTAATCACAATATTCCAGATGTGTTTTAGGTGTTAAAATCAATAAAGTTTTGTACAAATAAAGCTTATTGTATGTACCCCCTTTTTTGCGAGTATATGCATGACAACTCAACCACCTGTCTCAGAGCAACTGATTCTATAGAAAGGGTCACATAGAGGAATCTTTACCCCTCCCGTTTTTCCTGCTCAGAGCAGCTAGTTTGTTCTCTGTGTTAGCAGTGCTGATACCTTCTCAGATGTTCTTGCAAGTCAGGACTATTTAAAACCGTCTCTCTCTTTTCTGTATGCCTTGCAGACTTGAATCCCAAATGACAACGGACATCCAGACCATCCTACAGCTCCTGCAGAAACAAAGCACGGTGGTCCCTCCGGCCTACAGCATGGTGACCGCAGGAGCAGAGTATCAGAGGCCCATCCTCCGTCTGCTGAGAACCAGTCACCCCAGAGCATCCATTAAGACTGACCGGAGTTTCAGCCCCTCCTCCCAGGTGAGTGTGGACAATGTAAAACCGAGAGTGTCTCTTTGAGTGTACCTCCAGGGGTCGCCTGAGTAAGAATTATATGTGGAAAATATGGATTTCCATTCCCATCTGTTTATACTCACAGTTCCTGTAAATTGGACTTGTGTTTTATCACATGCCCTTAAAAGTTACAGACTCAAAGAAAAACTTAAACAGTGAAATTTGTGTGTGTGTGTGTGTGTGTGTGTGTGTGTGTGTCTGTCTATCTGTCTGTCTGTGTGGGTGCATCCCTGTAGAGGCCAGAGGACAAGCATCAGGGTTTTTGGTTTTTTCTAGATAGTTCTCCATCTTGTTTTTTTTAAGAAAGGTGTGTCATTAATGATATTATATATTATTTTCAAGACAGCTCTCTCACTGAACCTACATTACTGATTTGGCTAGCTAGCCTGGCTGGTCAGTGATCCCCAGGGAGCCTCTTGTCCCTGCTTCCCCAGTGCTGGCTTTACAGCTTCATAACACTCAACTTCTCCTATGGTGATCCAAATTCCCCTCACCCTGGTAAGGCAACACAACCCACCAGCCCCTAGACGTTAACATTTATTTAAAAGGAAAAGTTATTACTCCAGAACAAATTTAATATAAACTAGTATGCTATAGAGATTTTAATGGTAAAGGATGATTTTTTTTTGAAAGTGCATGAGAGAAAAACCTGTCCAAAAGCAGGATGGGTCTTAAGAGAAGAAGAAAAGAAATGGCAGTTAGCTGGTGTGTCACTGTGGTTCAAATGCAGTCAGATTGGCAAACGCATCTGCAGCCTACTTACCACAAGACAGCTCTAAGATTTTAACCACTGAGTGATGATACACACGGTAAAGTCGAGGCATATGGAGTATCCTTTATCCTGATCCTAAGCCGCCTAGTAGTGCCCCTTTCAGATATTTGAGTATCATGGGCAATTGAACTGAACAGAGATTATCTCAGTAGGAATATATAGGCAATCTGTGTAGGCATACTTAAAAAAACAACTTTTATTTACATTTCTTTTATCTTTTTCTCCCTGCTCCACCCCAATTCCTTCAAACACCCCAACACCAGATAGGAGAGAGAAAGGGTTAGTGGGAGAGGGGACGTAGTTCTTCCTTAGCTGCTTCCTGCTGGTTAGGGTCATGGGTTCTTTGGAGCCAGTCCAATCCTCCTTTCAGATCTCCAGCTTCTTGTCTCAACAGCACCCAGGAGCAGCAAGGGGGAAGCAGGAACAGCCTTTCTCTTTCTCTGAGCTCCACTCTCTGGGCTCTGGCGTTTATTCTCTCTCCAGAGTCCTCAGATTTAAACTATCTGCAGCTGGCAAAAAGCTCCTCTCAGAGCGCACATGAAGCAAATGGTCTGCTGCTGTGGACCATCTGAATCAGTCCCATATCCCATACCTGGGCCAAAACAAGACATGTTTATATCCACAACAATCTTGTGGACATTTCTGGGTAGAAATTGAATGTAAAATATTCTAGGAAGTGAAACAACATCTTAACAGAAGTTAGCTTGTCAGAAGGAAAATAATGACAATCTTCCCAAAATATAAAAGCTAATTTATCTCTAACTGGTTAATGCATGGGAAATGCACACAACTATGTGTTTTATTCGTTGTTTGCAATTAGTTTAGACAGTAATTTCTGATAAGAGTGGTGATTTTATTTCCTTTATCTCTTTCCTTTTTAGAAAAACTAGTCGCCAACAGACATTTCTTAATCCTGTCTTATTTTGGGTTAAAACTCACCTATACAGCTTAAAGTGAATACTTGAAGAAAAAAAAATGAACTTTTAAATCTGGCTTCAGAGTGAAATCAAAGTTCTTTACTTGAGATAACAGACCCCTAATGTCTTTACCACTTTAGGAGAGAGATGTCTGCTGGCTAATTCCCTTAATGACATACCGTTAATGGGGAGGGAAAACGCATCTGACTCTTGTGACCATAATTTTAGTTAACCATTGAAGTGAATAATAAATGGGCATTTTCTTTTCATTCTATCAGTGTCCTGAATTTCTCGACCTTGAAAAATCTAAACTCAAATCCAAAGAATCACTCTCAAGCGGAAGGCATCTGAACACAGCCTCAGAAGACAACTTGACTTCACTTTTAAAACAAGACAGTGATGTGTCTTCAGAGCTTGACCCAAGACAGAGAAAAACTTACCTTCATCCCATCCGGCATCCATCTCTGCCAGATTCTTCACTAAGCACTGTAGGGATCTTGGGTCTCCATAGGCATGTTTCTGATCCTGGTCTCCCAGGAAAGTAATCATTTTGTACTATTTCCTCCACATCCAATGTAAGTGCTTTTAATGGCTGTTTTCCTTTTTGTATTTAAATCCTCTCTACTTGACTCAGGGGCTCACAAGGTACCATTATATGCAAAAGTACTGTATATTTTTCCTAAATTGAAGCTTGTAAGGTAACATTGAGCAGTTAGGATGTAAATATACATAAGAGCTTTTGGTTCCAAATGTTAAAACTGCCAGCATCTCAAGGCACTTTATTTTTAATTTTATTTTTTAAATCATGTGCATGTTAGGAAACTCCAGTTTCTCTTGCATGGAGACTCCTATGGACCGCTTTTATTGATCCAGTGCTTCATTACGAAAATGCCTTCCAAGCAAATAAGAAGCCAAGGAATGAAAGTGTTCATAAATGCAACTCAGATAATCCCCAAATTATGGGAGGTCAAGGGAGATAAAGGGAAGTTAGTCACTTTGGAGAACAGAGATCCTTCTGTGTTGACATGTTTAGACTCACATTCATTCTGTGTAATAATTAAAAAAAAAATGCAAAGTTTGAGTTTTACATATCAGTCAGAAAGGGAACAAAATCCAAAAAGTACCAAAAGATATAGATAAATTTTTTGAGGAGATGGGTTTATTAAACTTTAGATTATATGTGAGGTTTCAGCAGTAACTCCGGCCCTGGTTTCACGTCCCAGCTTACATAAGACCTTCCACAAGAGCTATTCATTTTGGAGAGGTGACAGCTTTTGTTCCGGGCTTCCAGCGGTGAGGAAACTGTGGGAAGCAGTCGCCTGCTCCCAGCTTTCTCTGGCCAGTGAGCAGTCTGTCGGTAAGAAGGATCTCAACTCTGCTTTTAGGCAGGCCAGTGGGAGGATAACAGAAAGATCTGGTGTGATTTCTGCCCTACCTTTGGACAGACTGAAGAGACACAACACCCTCCAAGCTTTTGTCTTCAGCTAAACAATCATGAAGACAAGACAACATTAGTGAGAGAATAAACCAGTCTCTCTAGGAAATTCTGCAGTAGCTGCATTAACTGAAGGCTTGAAATGAAGATTATTTTGTATGTTGTGGGTAGTCCTTCACATGCCGCTTAGACAAAAGGACATTTCTTCAAATTTATATATGAGAACAACTTTGCATTTGATTAACTGCTAGACGCTCATGTTTGTTTCAAAAATATCTAATTTCAGAGTATTTATGTCAACAAAACTCTTTTAAAGAATGGGTTGTTTCCTTATTTTCTTACCCCAGCTGTGGCAAACAGCGTTCACTGAGCCACCTAGAGATTCTTAAATTAATTGAAAATTAAGTGAAAAATCAATTACATATCATTTGGGCTGATTATACATTGACTCCAAACCACAAGCTATATAGTAGAAGAATATATCCTAACATCTTTGAAAGTTAGGTACTATTTTGGGGACAGAGATGGCATTTGGCTCATAAAATCAGCACAGAAAAAAACTACAATTTATAATTCATTTGGACAAACTCCAGTTAAATTCCATTTCAAACTCAGTTATAATTTTTAAATTATCAGAGGCTTATTACTGTGTTCTTTTCTCCTGAACACTCAGGCGGTTTTTGAAGGCTTCTTAGTTTTTCTAATTCATATGCTTCCACTGAGCTTTAAATAGCATTTCATCTATACGTTATTAAATGGTTGAATTTTCCTTCACCTTTGACACTAATCTGTCAGTCCCATTCAAATGCAAGCAATTTGTTAAATGCGCATAACACTACTACTGTATTTAAAATGTGATTAGAGTGACCTTAAATTGTTCCCTATACACTGTTAGCCACCACAGAATTTGCTAATCTGATCTGTGTGGGAGGGAATCTGTACACAGGGCATGCTCTTAGTCTCAATTTAAGAAAAGTAATCATAAGTGATGGCATACTTATGGCAAAAGACCGGTCAAGTCAACAAAAGTATAATTAGAATGGGCTTCCCAGATGATCTGATATGGTACAGACATTTGAATGAAGTTCTGTACGCGGGAAAGAGAAAGTAAAGAACAATTTAGATGTGGATTTAGGAATCTTATTTCCACATCGGGACACATTTCTGTGGCTGCAACAGATCTCCTATGGAATATTCTGCCTAAGCTCTTCGAGCATTCAGAATAAATTTGGGAGAGACTGCTCATTTGTCAGGAGAGAGGATTTGGCAGAGAAGGAGCTGAGATCTGATTGTTTGACTAGGGAATGTTTCCTCTGCAGCATTTGGTACAACAGTTAGTTCAGCTGCTTGAAGGCCTCGGTTTATATTCTTTATAGAAACTGGCCATGCAGGAAAGGGGAGATAATGGGTGGTTCACAAGCATCCAGCTGGTTTAAATTTTAGCACAACACAAACCCCTCTCCTTAATTCCTCCGCATACAGGACTTGTTTGCTGTTTAAATCCTGAGTCTCAGAGGGCCATGTAGGAATAAGGAGACCTTTTTTTTTGTTTGTTTTTCTATAAAAAATTAGTTTTAAAACTGCCAAAGCAATATAAAGCTATATATAGTCATAAATGTAAGATGAAAACAGTTTAACTGACTTATGGGTAATAATAGGAATTATCTTAATGTACAATACGCACCCTAAAAATGGCTTTATAATAAATAGCATTACCCTATCATCTATAGCAAAAGCAACCTGTCACTTCCACCTTGGGCTCCTGCCCAAGGCTAGGTCTAACTGTTGCACCAGCCAAACAGCAGTATGGCAGCTGCTTTCCTTAGAGGGGATTAGAAGCATTGATGTCAAAAGCACCTTTTGTTTTTAACCCAAAATTAGGATCTGGTTCCAAGTCCTTTAAAAAAAAATGCTGCTTAAAGTTTATTTGTATTAAATGTTCTCCTGCTGCTATTAATTGCTGGACAGAGAATTGCCTCTAAGACTCATCATTTCATCCCAGAGGGGAGTCCCATACTTTAATTAGCTGATGAGAAAAGTAGGAAAAAAAATACAGAAGTGATGTTTTTAATATAATAGTCAGTAACTCAACAAACAGGGGAAAGCAGGGGGCTAATTTGGGACAGTGTAAATTTTAAGTTTATTATAATGGACTGGTCATGAGAATTAAGTTTTTTCTACTATTCCAGTCAGGGGAGAGGGCATACTGACATTGGGAATCAGGTTTAATATGTGCATATTAGAACTCAAGACTGCACAGACTCGAACTTGTACAAAACAACTAGGAGAAAAAACATTTGTATCCAAATGTTGTTTTCAAATCCCAACTTACACATTATAGGTAAAGATAAAATGTATTACCTCCTCAGTGTATATAAAAAAGCAATTAATAACGAATAACATTGTTTTATAGTCAGAAAAAAGCAATTCAGTAAGTTAATCAGTTATTAGAAATGACCTGTAACTCTGGCTATAATTTAATGTAAGTGACTCTATAGTGTTGATTCATGGATGACACTAAACCAGAAAATGAGGTTTGGACATGTTAATGGGCATATTATTCGATTTTTAAAAAGCTCTTAGGTAAAAAACAAACAAACAAACAAAAAAAAAACATTTGAGTTGTTATTCTCATTTTTGTAGTGACATAAATATGCCAGTCCTGGGCATTCCAAGAGGCACTAGGAAGACAGGTTGCTGGGTGTGTCCTCAAACAGTGCTCACATCACCTAGGAACATAGACCTCATCCCAAATCCACTGAATCAGAAACATGGAGGCAGGGACCCAGCAGCGCTCCTTCAGCCAGCTGTCTTTCACACGCCCTCGGTGCACACTGAAACACTGAGGTCCACAGCGGACCCATGGAGGTCAGGCCAACTCGATCCTAACCTTCATTCACATGCTGTGTGACCCTGAGTGAATTAATTACCCTCTTTGAGTTCTTTCCTGAATCTGTATAAAGTGAGGCTACAGTCCCTGCCTCACTCAAGTTTCAGAAGAAACAAAATCAAATTGGGAAAGTGTCTGGCACAAAGTAGGTGCTTAAAAAAATTCTAAAATCCACCCCGCCCACCCTCCACCCTCCAACATGACATTAAAAAACAATTAGGAAGATAAGTTGTTTTCTTTTGCACAAGTGCTAAGTAACTAAAAAGCTGTTTCCATGACTAAAGCTTTTGATGCAGAGAAACTTAACTGTAGCTACAATCTTCCCTTAATGTTGTGCTATTAGCGTTACAGCTCTAAAGTAATAATACTGTCAATAACGGTGGTGAGAATATGACCTTCCCTGTTTAAAAAAAAAAAAAAATGCCTGCTCTGAACTGTTGTTACATTCTGCAAGGCTAGTGCACTGTGCTTGGACATGATAGAGTTCCCAGATGGATATTTGAAACTATTTACGAAATTCAATTTTGATGGTAAACACAATTGCTGTTTTTACAAAGACTGGAACTTGACCCCGGTGGCGGCGGGCCACCCGGATCCTTCCTCTCACTGCCCAAAATGCATTCTATAGATCTTAGACACCTGAGTTCTCATGTGGGATACTGGAAACGGCAAAATCAAAGCCCACCTTTTCCATGCATTATTGACGAATAACCCAAAACAAACCTAAAACAAAGAGATTTCAGAGAAAAAAAAAAAAAACACACAAAACAAAAACAAAAAAACCACAAACCTAAAGCAAAGTGATTTCTGAAATCTCGTGGGAATGTGTGCAGGCCACGCGTTGCATAAAGTTTCAAGTTTATCCTGTGCCTTGTGCTCCACCACAGAGCCGTGCGCCTGGGTTACCACGTGAAAACATTTCCACCATTCTCTCCTCCCCCTAACTCTCCACACTGACACTCAGTATGGAATAGAAACTTACGAAGTGGCTTTCAGGCAGTTGCCAAAAATGAGGCTTTTCTAGAAGGAGACTGTTAGTGTTGGGGTGACCGCTTCTGTGTTAGCTCCCACGGGCCTCGTGCACAGAATGACTCATCCACACCGCAGATGCTGTCTGGGCTTGAGCTAGGTTGTCCCTCCTCTTCCTGATTTCCCAGGTGTTCTCACTCACAGCTGTATGCTTGTGGTAGCTAAAGGGGATGTTTTAACTTTTTAAAAACTGAAAGGGTATCTCCAATGCTTTACAAAATATTAGGTATTGTGACTGAGCAAGGCCCATGTTTATAATGCCATTATAGTCTTTTGTGTTAAAATATACTTTGTTCAGAAGAAGAAAAGCCATAAAAAACATGAACTGACATATGACAGCATTAAAAAAAAAAAAAAAAAAAAAAACTACCACAGAGATTATTTTGTTGACTATTTCATAAAAGTTGAGAGACGACTAATTGGAAGTTATTTAAAACTACTGTGTTATTACTATTAATGAGAATAAATGTATATAAAACTATATAACCACTTGACCCAGTCCATCACACTAGCAGACATTATCAAACTTTTCAACATATACAGCAAGAAATGTTGTAGTAATGCCCCCAAATAAATACTTTTATTATGAGAAGTAGCAATGTGTATAAGATTATTTTTAAAAAATTTATGCCAAAACTTAGTTGAATTCCTAAACTGTACTCATGTCATGTGTGGCTACTATAAGTTAGTAAAATCACTTAGTACACATGTAATTTCAAGGCTTTACATATTGAACTTACATTCTTTGGACTTCCTCTGGTATTTTATGATGCAATTTAAAAACTTAGAATTGCGCATAACCACAACTGTGAACATTTTAAGTGTGTTAGTTCTCATTCAAATTTGTACTGTGTCTGAGTGCATAAGGAAAGTCCACACTACAGTCCTTATTACTAACTAGGAGGAAACTTGAAGGATCAGTAAAGTTTTGAAAAGTGCTTTCTATATTTTTCCTCAAAGACTCACAGAGATACAACAGCAATGAAATGGCATGGCACCCTTCTCCCAAGTGGTTAAAACAAAAAAAAAAAAAAAAAGGACAATAAAAATATCCAGAAATCCCTAATTTATTCCTAGGCACCTACTGATTTTAACAAAAGGCACATTAGTTTTTTACAGCAGAAATTTTCATTTTATAATTCTAATAAGAAAGTATATTGCCCCAGAAGGCTTGCCAGTCAATGAATACTGCATTTCAGATAAAAAAAAAAAAAAAAAAAAAAAAGTGTGTGATTACTTGAAAATGTTAGTCACCTGCTGGAAGGAAGCTCACGTACACAGAAATCTGGAATGCTTTAAACTAAATGAAACAATCAACCAAAACACATACTACTTCACAGTCTTTATGCACATAATGTAGCATGGAATCATGATGCTTTTGAAATACTCTGTGCAGAAATATTTATTTTTTAGCCAATATTTTCCTCAAAGATTGGTATGGGGTATTGACAGTGTAATCTATTTGCACAACTAGTTTTGCAATAACCTTCTACAAATAACTGTATATAAGAAAAGTGTAAATTTCATGTAAATGGTTGCAAATTTTTGGTAGCTGAAAGAAGTATACAAGTTGTATTGAAAATATAATATATATATATATACCTAATTTAAGGATGAAACATATTTCTGATCTATTTATACATGAAAAAGTCAAGAATTTGTAAAAGAATTTATTTTGGGGGAAAAAGAAAGTAAATCCTATTAGCTAGCTAGTGTGCTTTTAATAAAGACTCTAAGATCCAACATTTTATTAGGTACAGTACTAGACACTCTATAGGCTTGGTGGTGCTGATCAATTCAAAAGTCACATTATTAACAGCGCTACAATTTTCCTGAGTTCCAAGAGACCACTAGCAAGCTTCACTAAGTGGTAAAAAAGCATTAAATCTGAATTTAAAGAAACTCAAAACATTTTACTCATCACCCCATCAGAACCATGGCAGTAAATGACCGAAACATTTATCGTTTGCTAAAATTTTCTGAAGGATTACACGGCCTCTGATGTACATTCAAAACAGCTCGTTTGTGATGAAAGCTTGGCTCATCTCTTTCATTTAAGAGTGAAAGTAGGTAGTTATTATTTCCTCTTGCTTAAGTTCCACACACACTTAATTTCTCCCCTAGTGGCTTTTGTGTCACTTAAGAAAATTCACACTATCTTCAAAAATAACCTTTCAACAAAATTTGTTGACTCTAGCACGGCATGTGCTAAACCAACCGCAACATAGTCTGTGTAGTGGCATAGATTCTTCATGCTTCGTTTTTAAAATTTAAGAAGCCAAAAGCATATTTTCCCCATGTGAAAAATGAAAAAAAAACCAAACTTAATAAAGACAGCAGAACATATTACATTGCCCTCTGTAAGTGAAACTTATTGTGAAATCAGAATCAAAGTATAGAAGGCAAAATGCCTGGAAACGTTCCACAACATCATTATCTCTTATCCTTAGACATATTTGTGGGAGTCTGAATTTACACAACTCTGGGAATTTAAATTGCATTGAAAGGTCCAGTAAATCCTAACGTTGTTTTTAAATGACCTGTAATTTCCAAAATAACGAGTATTTAGTTAGTATATTTCTAGAACAATGACATCTGCATTCTTCAAGTTACGTTTTGAAATTTTAGTAATCATAGAAAAATAAGAACTCAATAAGCAACACAACTAAATTGAAATGGTTACATGCATGTATCTGTACATTTAAATGTTTACTCTTAGAGAAAATGTTAAACTCCACCCCTCAGTATATCAGAATTGGAAACCCATCATTCCTGGTTCACATAGGTCTCCGCTTAGCTATTCAATGATGCTATCCTTTCTTGATGTTAATGAAGGGGCACACCCGAAAGAACATGTGGGCGAAAACCCTGTGCATTTTCTAATTGTGGTGCATGGTAGTGAGATAGAAGCTCTATGTCTACGTACTCTATGTTCAGACTGAGAAAAGCAAGCCTGTGTTTTGATATACTGAGCCATGTATTATGAAGCTACTCAGATAAAAGAAATGATGAGAACTTACGCTCTTTTCTTTGTGAGATGGGAAAAGTATGTTTAAAAATAAGTAGAAAGAAAGACAAGAAGGATTTAAAGCACAGGTTTCCTAGCGTTCAAATGATCGACAGGTCTTGAGTCACAAGGATTTCCTGATTTCTCCAGGTGTTTTGCTAGAAAAGTTTTCTTCTTGGTGTAATAAATTACAAGGAAATTTAAATTTAATATATGGAGATGTCTTGACCTTGTTCTAAATGAGAAACGATGAGCACTGTATTCATTTAAAATATTGTCTGCATTCACCACCACAAGACGTTCTAAACATTTCCATTTGTATCCTCCGATATCATGTACGTACTCTCCAGACATATTTTAAGTGATACATTAGCCTTAGGCATTGATTTGAGGAAGTTTAACTTACTACTTACATGATTACATCAAAACAAACACATAACAGCTTTTCAAGCAAGTACCAAAGTAATAAGAGCGCCATGGCTGTGCTTTCACTTTTAAGAAAAGGATGTGATAACAGGAAGCAGTCAGGGATTCTGAACAGAGGATTCAACTTACAGATTTTTAAAAACATATTCCTATAAAATTTACAGAAAGCTGCTAACAAAACAAGACAAAACATATCCACTTTAGTTTGTCAAAGATAAAAAAAACATTAAAAAAAAGCACATTTCTCACAAATAGTATTTATTTTGTTTGTCCAATTAGTAATATCATAAGATTGCAAGTGAACTTGATTTGTATATTTTAATTGAAGAAATACCACAAATTGATTATGTTATTTTTTTAATTGCAGAGTTTAAACTACCTTGATAAAATTCTACTTTCTTCCAGGATAAATGCCTTTTCTGGAAATAAATATATAACTTGAATATATATTTGTTAACTTTCTTTTTCTGAATGCATGCCTAAAATAGGTTAATGAGCACAGTCCTTAAAATACATTTAAAGTGGACCAAATCAAGATTCCCATAGCATTGATTCTCCCTTGATGTAATTTACAATGTGTAAACTGCCACTCAGATTAGAAGTGCAGCACCTGACACTTAATCATTTGGCAATCTTTTAGATAATAGCTGAATTAATGCACTGTTGTTTGAACTGAAGCATCTCATAGAAGTATACATGTAACAAATTTTGTATGATACAAAACTTTACAGCAAGCTATTTGAATGTTTATTAAAAAATTCTCAAAATGACATGGAAACATGTTTACTGTACAAATAAAAGCACTTATACAATAAGAGTGTACACTATTCAATGACTCATAACATAATGTGGCTTCTTTTTATTCTACAATAGCTTCAGATTTGGTACATTCACTGGTTCAGTTAACATTCCTTTTAGGTTTTCAAATATGTGGTAATGAAACAAACAAAGGACAGTGTGTAGGTATTCATAGAGCTATTCTTATAAATCTGACCAAGTGGATTTGATAGCAAATTATATAGTAATCAATGTCAAAATGATTCTAGGACCTTTTAAAGTAAAAGCTGATTTTAAGTTTTCTATTTTTATAAAAGAGGTTTATTGATTAAAAAAAGTTTTCTTAAAAATGTTTTAGTAATAAGCTAAACTAAGATTATATTTGCATTTGTCTTCAGCTAGAATATATTCAGTTAAAATATATGAAAATTCACTGTTTTTATTTTCAAATCTTCATTAATAAAGCCAGGGTGTTTTCCACATTAGAAACTAAATTAACTCTAATATCTCAAGCCAGAGAATGTAATGCAAAAAACCTGGTAACTACTTAAAGTCTCTACAGAAAATTTCACCAGAAATGCTGTTTATAGAGCTCACAAGAGAAGAAGAAAAGGAGAAAGGGGAAAAAAAAAAAAAAAGGAAGGAAAAATTGAAACACTTCTTGGTACACACACCCATAAATATGTCCATACCATACTGTCAATCCAAAATAGAATTTCTGAACATTTAAACCATAGCAGATGACTTGGTTTCCTTAACATTAGAAAGTGCTGTCATTAACTGAGCAACACCTGGGTTTAACAGAACAAACATAAATGAATGCTGACACTAGAGAAATTTAGGTTATCTATGCCTTCGCTAATGAAGGGGAAGGTATCGTCATTTTAAAATTTTAGGACGGGCATAGGTGTGCGAGCCCTGAATCTCTGTACACAATGCGGGACAAGGCAGGAGGACCTCAAGTTTGTGTCCCACTGGGCTACATAGAAAGGTCCTATCTCAGAATTTTTAAAAAAAGTTAAACAAAAACAGAGAATATACAAAACATAAAACAACAACAAAAACAGAGGACAATAAAACATACTGTAGAAAAATAAACAATGACATAAAAAGGTAAAACAATCCCAACTACTATGGGCTGACAGACACAGATGAGGATAAAGTTTTGGGAACTACAGTTTTCTTATTCACAGGCCAAGAACATGTGCCCTGTTCTCTGATGGTGTCATCAAAAGCCAAAGACAGCACAAAGCGCAGATGTCCCCTGACTGACTCACTCCCAGAAAACACCCACAGACACAACAAAACTCAAAAGTATAACTTGTAGCCTTTAGATAATACAGACACTTTCATTATTTGGCTTCATAGACAATGTCATGTGACTACATTCCTATCCACTTTTATTGTTAAGAACTAAGGCTCAGGTGTGCTAGTATCAATTAGGTACATATCATTAGCGACATTTCAGAGTGTGCATAGATCTGCACTGTTTTCCAAAAATAATATATCCCCCCCCCCAAAAAAAAAAGTTATTGCATTGAACTGTGCTTTAAGGTTAAATAACAGAAGGGGCGGGACTTTCACAGGAAGGTGTACAAAAAAGTTCCGTAGGCTTTTAATTGTAGGTAGTCCAGTCTGTTTCAATGAAGCAGAAGGATTCGCAGTATGTCTCCGCCTTTGGAATGCTAGGCTTTCAAATTGTCATAGTGCCCTGCAAAAACTAAGACACAAGCAGCATTATCACACGGCGACAACAAATGGTTTGTGTTTGTTTTAAATTAACCATATTCCATGACAACTTCTCTTTAATGCAAACATGTACATGCCAGTAAGTAGGATCTGATATTGTCCATTAAGAAATATGACAAACCCAAAACAAAACCCCTAAATTATAAAGGCACATATGAAATAGCACTTGGTACAGCTTCAACTTAAAGACAAATGGAACTGGGTTCATGGAGAGTTTCTGAAATGAAAAACAAGCAGCTTCACTTCTCTCCTTTAGGAAACATAATCACAAGTTAACAGCTCTTCCTAAACATAATGGTTAGTGTTTACCATTAAGATGACTGGGAAAATAAACTACCAAACACCTGTCATATGATTTTTACAGTATATCAACATTAACCTCATGTTCGCCTTAATGAAAGATATAGAAAATAATGTGGCCACCAAATAAGTTATTTTCAGTGTTTGCGCTCTGAATCAGTTAATGTTTTTCATCTTTTTATTGCATTTATATATTTATTGGTTAATTGAGTGAGAGAGAGAGAGAGAGTGTGTGTGTGTGTGTGTGTGTGTGTGTGTGTGTGTATGTGTGTGTGCCCTCACACACATGCTCATGACTTCATGTCACAGAGCATGTGTGGAGGTTCGAGGAAAAATTTTCAGAGAATGTTTTCTTTTTCCCTGAGCTAGAACTTAGATTATCCGATTGGTGACAATGGTCTATAGGCTCAATCACCTTGATAGTCCCATCACTTAATTTTTTCAATAACTAGCAACAAAGTACAAATGTTATGGTGTGTTCAGAATACTTACATCCTCATACATGAAGTTTACAATCCCTTGTTGCAAGTGGTCTCTTCGCCTAAAAAAATCTTTACACACAAAAATTACGTTTTAGAATTATAATTGGAGCCCACTGATTCCCAATACCTAATGTCTCCTGGTTCTAAGACTGATAGTATCGTAAGTGTCCTAATATTCTAAGAAAATGAAGCATGAAAATATTCTAAAACTGAGTGATTTTGATGTTTCTCTATTTATATTCATGTTTTAAAACCTTAACACTATTTAGATATCATAGTGATTAAGAAAGCGAAAACACTATTGTAAATTTTCTAAAAGAAACAGACACTATTCACCAAAAAAAGAAAAAGAAAAAGAAAGAAAAGCCTCATGAATTGAGTCCACTTTTCAATGCTCAGTACCTGTCAGGGCTCGAAGCTTCACACAGCAGGCAACATAATCATCAAAGAAAATTCTGCCGTTCTTGCTGTAGCGCCGAACAATAGCAGCTAATGTCTGGGGACTCAGCCTATAACCTACGAAAGAAGAATGACACATTCAAACCTTCAAACTTAAATACTGTCAACTACCCAAACCCCTGCTATTAATAAAGTCATGAAACAGATTAACTTTCAAAATTCTTTCTATACAAAACATATTCAATTTATTTTTGGCAGGACTGAGGTTTAAATACAAGGGCGCATACATGGGAAGGAGAAGCATTCTACCACTGACCTGAAGCCCTCAAAAGGATATATTAGAAAAACATTAATATCAAAAACAGTAAGACATAATATTCATGAATAATTCCAGCAAGTGGAATAGAGCTGATACAATTCTAACTCTGTAACAAAATCAATTCTATAGAAAGACAATAATTATCTTCTCTGACATTTAAATATATTTTATTCTGAAATTATTCCTGGGGGGGTATTATGCACGGATTTTAACACTTCAGTATTGCAGTACCAAAGGAAGGATTATTATTAATCTTTGTTATCATTCCATTGCTGTACTTCTGATAGAATGTCTGGGTTTTTTTGTTTTGTTTTGTTTTAAGAACACCTGAAAATTAACCTTCTTAAAAGTGGTGGAAATAATCCCTTCTTCAAACCATAGTTTACAAAGAATGAATAAAACAGAAATTCAAATTAGGGGGTTCTATTTCCTACACTTCTAGCATGACCCTAATAGAGTTAATGGGGCATGTACACATAACTTGGGAGAATGATGCAGTATGGTCTACACATTAGTGGAGCAGTAGAGTTAGAAAATATCACACTAATCCAGCCAGAGATAAAAATAAGTACCAGAAGGAAAAACTCCTATAGTTATAATAAAATATAATCCATAGGGCTAGGGGAATCCAAACCACTTCCCCAGTTCCATCCTCAACACCACAAAACAAAATAAATCATGTATATAGAATACATGTATGATCATATATGTATATGTATTATATATATGCATACATATATGTCTATCCCGGAAAACGTGCTTAAAGTAAATACAAATTAAGATTCATACCAACACATACAAATTAACACAACTATGTGAAAGTGCACTTGAGCCTCCTTCTAGTGAGTTACGATCTGGATGAATTTAAAGAGATTCAAAGGTGTCAAGTTTGAGTAGTCCAGAATAACTCAACTCTTGATTGCAACTTGAGGGGGGGGGGACACGTAATACAGCAATTGTTTGGGTGTCGAAGGACAGCTCCGCAGGAGTCACGTCCCTTTTTCTACCACGTTGGCCCTGGGGATCAAACTCAGGCCACTGCGCTTAGCAGTGCCTGCTTTAGCCACTAAGCCTTCTGGCAGGCCCCAGAATGACCCTTTCTTTCATTCACATGGCCTGCTTGGACTCTTTGAGGCTTTTCAATTTTCTAAATTTTATCTTTGTTTTGTTTTGGTTTTTGTTATTGATTTTTCAAGACAGAGTTTCTCTGTGTAGTCCTTGGCTATTCTGGAACTCACTGGGTAGTGAACTCAGAGATCCACCTGTCTCTGCCTCCTGGGTGCTGGGATTAAAGGCGCGAGTCACCACTGCCTGGCTCACCTGTTTAATTTCTGGAAAAAAAAAAAAAAACTAAACTATTTTTTTAAATATACTGTTAAAGACCAAGTCGAATCAATTATTATTAAGGATCTACAGTTGAGCATGTTTATATGGCCAGGATTTTCTCTGGATACTAAAATAAAGTATCTATTTATATAACTAAATTGGGGGGAAAAATCACTAATTTGAACTCTGCCCTATAATTTAAGCCCATGTGCCTTGAGCTCAGAATTTAATTTTTGAACAGGTAATTTTCATGTATGTGCATTTTCTTTATAAATAAAAATGCAAAAAAAAATAGAAGAGAAGAATTAAGAAAACTACTTAAAGCATGACTCAAGTTGATACTCAGGAAACCAAGGCAGAAGGATCTCAGTGAATCTGAGGCAAGGCTGGGCTACACAGTGAGTTCTGGATAAGCCTGGGTTATAGAGCGAGCAGAGTGAGAATCTCTCTGGTGGAGGGGTGGGGGAGCGGTAAAAGAGAGGAAGTATAGGAAAGTACCACTGCATTACCTGGTAGCACATTAAGGATCATTGTACATTACCACTCTTTGCAGAGTGAACCAAGAGCCTTAGCCTATAAGAAGTACAACGAAAATAGTTTTATCTTTTAAACTAATCTGATATTCAATCTTCCCACTTTGAAGTTTTCCAGCACCTATCTCATGTGCTCTACACAAAGAAGAAAAACAAAAATTATTTTTCTGTTGAAAAGCTAGATACCAGTAGACACACCTGTGCTTGACAGGGACAAGCCTTTCATACATGATTAAAGAATCCACTGAGCTACAAAAGAATGGAATGCAAGTGGCAGATGCTAACATTAGAGATGGTAATTAAATATACTCCGGGAATTCAGAATGAATAGAAGGTTGCCTTTGGAAGAAATCTCAGATAAATTTACGGAGACAGGGCTTGGTGGGAGAGTGCTGGTATCACATATGCAAGACTGAGAATTCAATTTTCAACGCTACCACAAAGTGAAGAAATAACAGTAATAAGATTGTATTAGTGTCTGTGATCAAGATTTACCAGCAACTATGAGCCTAAATTAAGGGACATACTAACAGAAAACAGTCCTTTATTACTTCGCAAATTAAAGCAATTAAGGTTCATATTTTGTGAGCTGGAGATATGGCTCAGTACTTAAGAACTCTTTCTTAAGGACCTGGGTTCAGTTACCAGCATGAACATGGTAGCTAGCTCGCAACCTTCTGTAACTCCAGAGGAAATCTGACACCCTCTTCTGGGTTCCTAGCACACCAGGCAGTTATATGCACACACACATACTTCCAGGCAAATACTCAAAGTCATAAAATAAAATAAATAAATCTTTTATGAGTATAAAAAGCCATAACTTCATCAAAACGATGATTCTAAGAAATGTTAATAGTCTTACCCATCAGAGCGATGGCTTGACCCAGCTCATGATGTTCTACAGTGCCACTTTGATCTTGGTCAATAGTCATGAAGTTCTGCTTCCAGGCGGTCAGAGCTGCCCAAAGCTCCTTGAATTCACTGAATCCCATTTTTCCTGTGTAGTCTCTCTGACAGTTTTATTAATAAAAATAAGTTTCGGTAGCTGAGATAATTTATCTGATCCTGTACCCCAAATTGCAAACTGAAAAGTACAAATTCTCATGCAGTTAGCCTGAGCCAGCCTACGAAAAAATTTCTGTGTCAAACTGAAACTTTGTGGACTTTAAATAAGACCTTACAAGATACAGTTAGCTATGAAATTAACAACTGGTTTAATGTTTAGAAAGCAACAACTCTAAATTTTGGTATTTTCCTATTTTTATTCAAGGATACATCCAACATGGCAATCATAATTCTGCAGGTTTCCAAACTGAAGGCTGAAAAACATATTTAATATTTGAATACTAAAGTCTTCTCAATGTTATCTATGTAACATTAGGACATTCTTCACTTTATGAAAATATTTTAAAATGACAAACAACACAGAATCACTGCAAGTAATAAATGTTTGACTGTTAAGTATTTAGAAAAATAAAAATAAAATGTATAAAAAATTACTGTCTCCAAACTACTCACACTTACTGAAGCCAGTACTGGGTAAGTAGTTACAAAGTAGCTGATACATTACAGGCACTTGGCTTTGCCAGGAGCCTGGGAAGAAACCAGGTTTCAGTCTTCAAAACACCAGAGACAAGGAGAGTATATCTGCTGTGTACCCAGGAGTCAGGAAATGTGCAGAACTTAGAGAACATGCGAGGAAGTCATACAAGAGGCCATCAGACAGGCAAAGAGGGGTCAAAACAGCACCTGCTTAAATGTTACAGTCTAGACCAATGAGCATCCCTGTAGTGAAACAGCAGAAAAGAAAGCACAACACTTCCTCAGCTTCAGCTCTGGTCTACAGCAAAAGGACTCAAAAAGTAAGGAGCTGTGGGGAGGAGGGTGGGGGAATCAGTGCTGGCTTAGATTCAGTGAGGAAGGTTGAGCCACTTGAAAAAGGGGAGAAGGAAGGTCAACACAAACCATCTTCAGAAGGGGGTCCTGTGGGTATTGTCTACATTCCTGGAACACACACTCTCAAAGAAAACTCCCCGATTCTCTGGCCCTTAACTATCTTTCCCCTATTTTTCTGCAATGATCTCTGAGCAGAACTACAGGCAATTAAGGAATGCAGAGAGCACGGGAAATAGTCTCCCCACGGGAAGAGCAAACCATGTGTTTTCTAGTACAATTGGTCATCCCTGAAAACATGCATACAGGCAACATTATACAGACTACTGAGAAGGGTGCGTTTATGTACATGCATATGTATGTGCATGTACATATATGTGTGTGACATAACTGATGGAAAAAAGAAGCCATGGATTTGAAAGAGAGAGCAAGGAGGGAGTACATGGGAGGGTTTGGAGGGAAAAGGAGGACGGTGGAAATGTTGTAGTTGTATTATAAATAAAAGAAATAATTAAAAACAAAAGGGTTGTTAGAAATATTAACACTTCCATATTTATTTACAATGAAGCCACTAGAAAAAATTTTAAATCTCCCAAATTTGTCACAATTATATTCATCTAATTGGGCTTATTTTTTTTTCTAAAATAGGAGATATGCCAGCAAATCTCAGGTAAGCTTTCAAGGTTCTTCTAGCTCCTTGATATCAATGAGTGAACAGATAATTTAGACACACTTGGTTTTATACTGCTTGATAACACTTTGAAATCCTTAAGGCCGACTAAGTGAGATAAATTTCAAAACACCTGAAGAAAAGTGATAAGATACCCTGCTGGCAACAATAAAGGGCAGGTGCGTCCCTTTCCTCGTTGATGTATAAAATACCCAAAGAGTGGAGCATGTGGTGGCTGGTCACTTTTTGTCTACCGTCGGAAGCAAAGGAAATCGAATGCTCGCCCCTTTTCCTCCTTTTCTTCAGACGTTAGCCCATGAGGTAGTGTCACACTGTGACTCAGAGTACTGTCCTAACACATTCACCCAGTGGTGTGGGTCCTAGCTGACCCCAAAGCCAGATGTGGTTATGGTGACGATTAACCGTGACAGTGGATTACATCATTTAACACAAGCATAAAGAAATGTGAGCCAAAGAGGGTTTCCCAGGCCCATAAAGGTAGTGTGTGCGTAGAGGCACCAACACCGGGGCCTCATGTTCTCCATAAGTAAACTACTGGATGTTGGGGGGACGACACGAGAAAATGTTGTAGCCATCTTTTTGACAGGTTAACTTGGTTCACATTCAGGAAGTGGGAGAGCCAAACCAAATTAAAACAAACAAACAAAAATTAAAATTAAATCAACAAATAAGCATATCTTCAATCTCAGGATAAAAAAAATGAGCATTTAAAGTTGAAATATTTTTTAAAGAGTGGTGAGGCAAACTTTTCATCCAGAAAATGAACTCCCTCCTCATAACCCACCGGAGTGGAGAGTAAATTGATTGGGGGTTGGGGGCTTAACCTCTTAGAGGAAAAGGGAGTAATGAAAATAACATTCTTTTCAAGTTAGAAAGTCGAGAGATATGGCTATTTAATGTTTACGCATAAAGAGAACTGCTGAGATACAACCTAGTTACCGTGGGAAAGATGCCAAATGTCTAAGAATTGGCAGCTTCTGAACATGTATGTGAAGGTGGAGCTAAAAACAGAACTGAGTTAAGGGGGCTACTTTAAGAGCATGCAAAGACCCAGTCCCCTCTCTATGTTATTCAGTTCGATGGCTGTCAGACCCATACTCTCACCCAGCAAGAATTTTGCTTTATTGAGATATTTCTGGACTTTAGGATGCTAGGCACAATGGGAATGAACTAACTACTGAAAACAAGCCAATTACCTAAAAATTTACTTAAGAACCCTGAAAGTGTGTTTTGCCTCCTAAGGAGAACAACAGAAAAGGCATCCTTAAGGAAACAGAGGAAATCTCCCATGACAGTGACAACTGAATCCCACAGGGACACTGCCCAGCTTCACCTTAATAGGAAGCCCACAGTCAACCAGACCCGGGCTTACGCTCAGCATTTTCATGAGATTTGGTGCAACAAAGTGTCATCAGACACCCAAGAAATGACAAGGAAAATAATTAAATAAGCTAGAAGAATGAAAACAATTTTGAAGGGGGGAGGAAGGTTATGTAATAAGCATTCTAATAGTTTCAGAGAGATAAAAGAAATAGAAAGCATAGCATTTGGGGGAAAAAAAGAGGCTCTTAGCACTTATAAAACATACCATCAGAAATGGAAGACACAGAAGAGTTTATAAAATAAAGCTGACATTCTAAAAGAGAGAGAGAACAGATGACTCAGTCCAAATAACGCACATCACAGAAAGAAGAAACATCACTGAAGAAAATTTCCCAGAGCAAAAAAGTACAAGGGATTCCAATGACTGAGCACACCCACTCAGTTCCCCCATGCAGTGCTACAGGGCACCTATATTGTGAAATGTCAGAGCAGCAAGTACCTGTGAGGAACGCAATGACCCTGAGCATCCAGAGAGGAAAAGCACATCTCACACCTTGTGAGATAGAAACTAAGGGGATGGAAGCTCAAACCAGAAGTTCTTTTGAGAATGTGTGTGAAAACGACAGCCAAACAGCAGCAGGAATGTCTATGGCGGGAGCATTTAACAGCCCCAGTCTCTTTCCTGCCACTGTCTAGGTGGATGCTACCCGCTGGTCTATGAAGGAATGCTTTTTGAATTTTATGTGGAAATGGGTTGTAATGGAGAACTCCACACCTTGATGAGCAGCCACTCAAGGACGGAGACAAATGAAAGCATCTTCAGAGAGTAAAAGTCTCAAAAATTGATGCTAATCCATGTACTTTTTCATTAAAAGCTACTTGAGAGATCTCAATGGAATAATAGGTTGAGTTAAAAATATTAGACAACAGAGCAGAATAAATAATAACAGAGATACAACTCAGGAAGGCAAAAGAACTGCAGAATGGTGGTGAAAGAATGAGACCCAGCCATAAAACACAGAGCATATCAGAGGGATGTAAAACCTAGCTGTCAGGTCAAAGGAAACGCTGATTCCCTAGACTTCGAAAGGCAATGTGTATGTCCAGAAATGAGTCTTGGCTTAGCTCAAGCTGCTCTATTGAAGGACTTCTGGCCATTAGATAAAAATCTGCATGCCTCATGAGCTTTTGAAACAGGTTCCCATCTGCCAAAAGGAGTCATTTCCCTTGCCTCTGGCAGAAGGGCCATATGGCTTTCCATGGACATACTCCTGTGGTTGCAAGTCAAAGTCCATGCTGGCTTCCAGGCACCTACAGTGCCTCTTCACAAGTACATATTATGACTTTCCAAGACCCCACACTAGCATTCTATCCCTTCTCTCCTTCCCAGATACCCATTTGTTCTCTATCTAATGACAAGATTTTTCCTCCTACCCTCCCATCCTGTTATCTCTACCCTCACTCCCAAATCCCCCACCCCCTACCCATGCTATTCTGTATTATTCCCTCTTTTGCTAGTTTCTACTATTCTTCCTTCTCTTGCAGACAGTCCTGGCCCTGTTCCCTGCCTTTCCTTGTCTCTCTGCTCTGGATCTTCCAGATGCCTCTGGATATTTTCTCTCCCTTATCTACAATAAAAATCTTCCCCTGTTGGAGCAGCCATTCCAGCAGCTCTTTACTTGCATCACTTGCAAACACTGTGAATTTTTAGAAAAAACAAAAGGCTACATAAGAAAGAAAAGTAGCCATACATTGTCACAAGACACAGTTATAAGCGACATGTAGACAACAGATAAAAGGTAAATGCTCATAACGATCTCTAAATTATTGTACATCTATCAGCAGGACAAAGGATGGAAATTTTTCACATGAAGGGATAAAGTGATTTTAAGGTTGGAAGACATTTCCTCAGTTCTCACAGCAGAATATCAACTGATGATCACGAAGCTTCAATGCAGTGCTAAAGCTATGACACTTTATGACACTTTGAGGTCTGAAAGCAAATTCTAAAGAAGCCACTTACAGCCATTTAAAAATGTTTCTCCTGAATAGTTAATGCTGAAAGTCAGGAGAGTAAATGAACAGTTGTTTTCACAGCAATACGTACAGAACTATCTGAGTCTTTAAACTTGGTATATGTAGAGCTTACAATGTCTTTAATATTTAAGGTGGGGGACTAAAATGCTAGAAGTGGATTTCCTTTTCTAATACCCTAAGCAACAAAAAAGGGGAGATGAAACAACGCATGATCTCACGAGCGTAAGTCCCACTAATTCCAGACTGCGTCAAGCATCTCTGAAGTTCTTCCGCATCCACTTCACCATCCTGCAAGAAAAGAACGACCGAGGGTTTTAATGCGCAATGGTACCAAAGGACATTAAGAATGTTAACTGAGTGCTGCTTGGGGGCTACCTAGAGATATTCAGTTTTCAAGACAGCAAACCCCACAAAATTCACAAGATAAACGTTGACAGCGAAGGCACATTGCAGACGGTGGAACCTGGTGAATTTCTTCTCTGGGTCTGAGAGGCCACACAGTCCTCTTGTCTTCTCATGAGTTGACACAATGGAAAACGCCTTGTCACTTTATTCACGGTCACCTTTGCCTTGCGCCCTGACAGCACATCGTGCACCTTTCACTCCCATCACTGTGCTTGGACGAGGTTTACCAAATTACAAACTCTATAGTTATTTTTAAAACTAGGATTTAAGAAAAAAAAGCGTGTATTTTTAAGAGTGAGGTTGGGTTAGAAAAAAAATTTTTCTCCAATGATACGGACATCAGAAGGCCTTTCTGTTACATTCTACCCAAGTAGACATTACCAATAATTGTCTATCCTGAAGTAACTGTATCAAGCCAATATTATGTTTTAAGAAACATGAATTATGAATATTTTCTTGAGGTATTCTAAGTGGAAATAGGTATTAAAGTGTTCTATACCCAGATCTGATCGCTCTTCAGCCAGGCCACTGCCGCGAGAGGACAAACTGAACCCCAGGTATGGTCAACCACTGCACAATATTAGACTTTTAGAAATAAATGATTAGAAAATATCTTCCCAGGCTGGATAGTGGCACAAGCTTTTAATCTCAGCATTCAGGAGGCAGAGGCACTCTGTGAGTTCGAGGACAGCCCAGTCTACAGAGTGATTTCAGGACAACCAGGAGTGTTACACAGAGAAATTCTGTCTTGAAAAACAAACAAACAAACAAACAAAAAGGAAAGAAAAGAAAATAGCTTCCTTACCATCTTTTGATTTTTTAAGATAACAATTATAATTATTTCTCTCATTAACTCTTAAGTGAGAAAATACTATTGTAGCTGAGAATGAAATTAGTAAGAACTTCTAAGCCTTGCCAGTTTTTTCCCCCACTAACAAATCAATGCACTATTCAGACAGCACAATGATACATAGAATTGAATGACCAGAAAACATGCAATTAAAACTTTCATAAAAACACATGAATATATGGAAAATTTCTAACAATGCAATAAAATTATAAGAAATAAGGGCTGTACAGTCTGATGTTTTCTGTCCCCATACGAGCCTCTTTTGTAACATTCACATACAAGCTCAACCATGCCCACCAGTTAGGCTATCATTATTTTTAAACTCAATACTTCTAAATATAAAAGACAAACTTTGAAGGTTATACAGTTTTGATTTTTTTTTTTTTTTGGAGCGAAACTAGTTGTAAAATTAAAAACTTAAGAGTATTGTGATCACTGGAAAAATGCAGAAATCTGTTGACTTCCTCAATTTTTTTGAAATTTTATGCGTTTCGATTTTAATTTTGCTTGGAGATGGAGATCTTATTATGCTGCCCAGGCAGGCGTGTCTCAAATCCCTGGGCAGCTGGGATTGCAGGCACTCCCCTGCACTCTGATGCCTATTTGCAAACTTTATCTTATGAAGCTTTCGGAGAGATATAGAAAAGCCATTTACATACATAATCCTTTCCTTCAAGTTACATTGTTCGACCCAATTATCCTCTATAAACAAGAAAATTTAGCCAGGACAACTGAATTTTAATATTCTACAAAATCGAAGTCATCAGACAGGTTGAACGGGGCTTGTATGTGTAAGCAGAGTCAATATGAAAGTAAGGCTAATGAGATCCATGTGCAAGCACAGGGTCAGTCCCTTAAAAGCTGGAAAAAAATGAGCTTTTGCTCATCACAGTGTTCTTAAGTGACTTTTAAACGAATCACATTTGAGTACTAGCTTTGAAAACACATTTAAATTGTACTTCCAAGACAAAAATCTCTCGTGTCTTAGCCCAGCCTGACCCTAAGTCACTTAACGATACAGACACAGTTAAAAGTTACAACAGGAGTGACATTAGGGAACCTTCAATGGCAACTAAGATGAGTGATAATGAGAGAAAGGGTGTATTTAATTTCCTTACTAAATACACTTGAGGTCTATGATGCTTCGCTGTATACTTGCTATGTTTTCAAAGTATATGAAGCAGAAATACACATACACCGCACATATATTTTTTTCTAATTCTAAATCAGTCTTTAGTACATTACGGAGAAGCAAACATGGTTGCATATGTCAGTGGGAGATAAGCTGCCATGTTCCTTGAATCTAGGAAGAGGGCTGGGTAATTCTGTATAAAGCCTCTGTTCTTAGAAAAGCAATGAGACCTGAGGAGCACACTCAAGTGAAAAACAGAATGTAAGTTGTTGTCCATGTTCTGTGAAATGCTAACCCACCCCAGTACATCCTCCACTGTTCTAAAAAGAGAGGAGGATGGTTACAGACAGTAGCTAAAACCAAGAGAGAATTTCTCCCTGTCATCAGTCAGGCATTTAAATTTCCAGTGCACTGTTTTCTTTCAGATTCTTGATCCTTTTTGGCATCAACCCTCTTTTCAAGGAACAAAAATAACCCCCACAAAAGGTACACAGCTAAGGATTCCCTTCTGAGAGGTAAGTGACACTCAGAGAAGGACAAGCTGGGGACCTAGGTCCACCTCATTTGGGATGGGATCATCATCACCATTGGTACATCCCTGAAGGATTATGAGCCTCATCACATAATTATAGAACTATCAGAAAAAGAAAGAGTGGTACAGACTGGGGGAATAAAGGACACAAAAGAAAGCGGTAACAACCTTTCAAGCTACACGTGAATATCACGTGTTCAAAAAGATAGCCAGCAAAAATAAAGTGTTTTTTTTAAAACTCTATTAGTTTCATGGAAAAGTCATCAAAATAACTATGATGCAAATGTACAGAAACTTGAACAAATGACTGGTAGGTACACTCATTCATTTAACATACACCGACTGAGCCACCCACTGAATGTGAATCCCTTTCAATACACCAGACATCAAACAGTGTGCAGTGTTGGTATAATGCTCTTTTGAAATGTATACACCTTACCCTTGTTCATTCAAATGCTGATTTCTCCCCCCACTCTCTGGTTTCAATCCAGACATTGCATTGTGATACTTTTCCTAAGCATCACATGTCTCAACTTTGTGTAAACATGACAAAATAAAAACCAGCCACAATGATGAGCAATGGAGAGGGAGGAGTAAGGTGGAGAGAGGAGGAGCCAGAGGACAGGAAAGAATGGGAGGCAGAGGCTGGGAGAGGGAGGCTGGAAGAGAGGTCTTGGACTGCCGTGGAGAATGACCGGGACCTACGGTTTCACTAAAAGCAAGTATAATGTGGGAAATCTAAATGTTAGGAAACTATGAGGGCTTGGAGGTTTAGGATGGAGTAACTATTGCCCAGCATTGTGTTCTAGGTTAATTATATAAATCATAGTCTGTGTGGTGATTTGGTTATACAGCTGTTCAGGATTAACAGCAACTTTAATAAAAGATATCTTAATAGTAAATATTAATTGCCACTTACAATAGTGCAGCACAAATTCCTTGTCATTACAGTATTGCACTTCAGAGGTAGAAGACAAAACAGTGCGGCAAAGATTACATCAAGTGACATTGGAGGCTACAGGGAAACACAGCATAATTGATGCAGAAATGAGAAGTGTGGGTACTCTGTGAGGGTGAAGAGTGATGCTACAGCAGATAAACAGCAAAGTAAAGCCTCAACTGAGGACAGAGAATTAGATGGCGACCCCTGTACTCTAGTCCTCAGCTGCTGTGACAGCAGCTCCTGGCTGGGGTTGCAGATGAGCACTTGAAATGTAGCTACTATGACCTCAAATGTCCTGTAGAGGCAAGGGCCCCCGCTAGAGCCACAGACTCAAAAGAAAACAGAGGTAAAATATTTCACCATTTCTTACGTTGCTGACATGCTGCTGTGCAGAACAGTCTTATAAAATCCTAGAGGCAAGTGGAGCCCTCTGAGTCTTAAGGCCATCGGGACATGTAGTGAGACCCTGTCTAAAGTAGACAATTAGTTAATTAATTGACAAAAGTCAGTAAGGGTTTATTGCTTCATAAAGGGAATCTGGTGCTGAGTACAAGGTCACATGGCAACTTAACTGTGCCGTCAACCCCTGCATCTCTCACAGTCTCCACCCACAGGCCTTTATCTCAAGTACATTGTTCCCCAAGCCACACAAATGGCTGCTGCACCTTCAAACTTCACGCTCCCTTTCCAAGCTGGAAGAATAATGAACTGAAAGAGCCACGGCTGTCTTCTAACAAGGCCTTTAGAATTATGGTTACGTTTTAACTTTTTTATGTTGTGAAATGTGTGCGCAGCATGCAGGGATGTCAGAGGACAACTTCTGGAATGGAGTCAACACCGTCTCCCCCCAGCACGTGGATCCCAGGGTTTGAATTTGGATCATGAAGTACCTTTATCTTATCAGTCCCCTAGTAATGCCTTTATTTGGATAAAGCACCCCAAAGAAACTCCATCCACATGACTGTTTTATCTTATAACAAACAGATATTTTCTATAGCTATGATTTTCCAGCTTCTGCCACACACTGAGAAAAAGTTGTCCATGGGGCTTGAGTAGCCAATCAAGGGTCACATACAGTAATTCTGTACAAAGCCTCTGTTCTAAGAATATGGGACCTGAAGAGCACTCAAGTGAAGAACAGAACGTAAGCTGTTGTGTTTTATGAGATGCTACACACTTCAGGACATCTCCCATTGCTACAAAAAGATGGGGGGAGGAGGACCGTGGAGACAGACTGTAGTTGAAACCAAAGGAGAATTTCTCCTTGTCATCAGTCCATCATTTGAATCTCTAGGGCACTGTTTTCTTTCATATTCTTGATCATTTTCATCGACTCTATCCCAGAAACAACTACAATTTCTAAGTCACAATTTGATAGCCTGCTGCAGATTTAGATGTGGTCTTCTATCTGAAATTCCAGCCTACAGTCTGAATGCACCATGAACCATCCTGTTATTTCCCATAGAAACAAATCTAGCATCCATCACCCCAATAATTGTTAAAAATAAAAACGGAATAGAAAAAGCTGTTGTGCTAGTGGAATATCCATATAAGGCCATGTGGTCACATGTTCATCCCCCTCTCCCACCCTCTTCTCTCTCCTAGTCAACTACAACATAAAATGCCACTTGCACCACCGTCTCAGTTAGGGTTACTATTGCTTTGATGAAGTAACATGTTGAGAAGCAAGTGGAGGATAAAAGGGTTTATTCGGCTTACACTTCCATTTCACTGTCACTGAAGGAAGTCAGGACGAGAACTCAAACAGGGTTTGAGGGCTGGAACCTGGAGATAGAAGCTGTTGCAAAGACCACGGAGGGGTGCTGCTTACTGGCTTGCTCAGCTTGCTTTCTTACAGAAGCCGGGACCTCCAGCCTAAGGATGGCACCACCCACCATGGCCTTCCCATTTGAATCACTAATTAAGAAAGTGCCCTCCAGCCAGATCTTATGGAGGCATCTGAGGTAACTTTCTTTCTAGCTTGTGTCAAGCTGGCATAAAACTAGTCAGCACAGCCCTCTTTACTATATCCTGAATTCAGGAATCAAGTTTTAAGTTTCTTGGTCTTTTATTTCAAATGCTTATTTTTTTTTATACATAAGGGTTCCATTACTAATATTATATTGTACTTTGCCACCACACAGCTGCAGTCAAGAATGAACCACATGTAAGGCCGAGGTCCAAAAGATTAAAATGGAGTTTAAAAGATCCCTATCACCTAGAACGTAGTGTGTTTGGGTTGAATGTCTACCAGAGGTGAATTGTTAATGCTCTGGTCCCCAGGCAGATGAAAATAGGAGGTGGGACCTATGGTAAGGTCCTTGGTCATTATGGCATTTACTCAAAGGTGACAGTGGGCATTTGGTCTCATCCTCTCTGCTCATTCTACACTCCAGAGCACAATACTGTTGTCAAATAAGGCACCACTGTGACTCTATGACTTTTAGATCCACTTACATATATGAAATATATTATGATATGCTTCATACTGGAATATTTACTCTCAATAGAACAGTTTATGATGAAACTTTTGATTAATTTTTAAAAGGGCAAAAGAGAGGAAAACAGGCAAAATAAAAATTTGGAAATTTGATTCAAGTGGTATTTGGTAGAAAGAGACATCTTTTCATATTTCACATCTCCGCTTAGAGAGGCGTGTTCCTCTGCTGTTCTCACATATCATCCACAACACCCACATCTCACACCGCATCCACAGCAAACAGCAGGACTGTTTGGGACTGAGGATCTAGTGAAAAATCACCATACAAAATAAGATATGGAATTTCTTTATGGCTATCTGAAAGCAAGGGAAGACAGGGTTCCTATGATCTGCCTTACAGAATAGAAACTCTAACTTCTACGCCCTAACTAAAGGAAGGATTTATGAGCTAGGAAACATGATGGGCACACAGACACATATTTATACAATATAAAGGTGATTGTATATAGGTACATGTATCCATAGGTAAAATAATTATGATCTTAAACATGTGCACATAGTTCCATGCTATACACATGTATAAAGTCATAATTGTATGCTTTCTAGTTCTAAATATTCATTTAATATTTCTTTTGTACCAAATGCAGTCAAAAACCAATAAAAATAAGTATAAGACTGTATAGACTACTTCATCTCTACACCACAATACTTGAATGAAGCTACTTAAAAAACTAGAGGTTTCACTTTGATTAACAGTTTAAACGGACAGGGTCTATCATGGCGAGGAGGACACGGTGACCTGGGCTGGTTCCATGGCAGAGGACGTGGTAGCGTGGCTTGTTCCATCTCAGCAAATCAGGAAGGGAAGCAGAATGCTCTGAGCGGCAGAGCAGGTCTGTAGCTTTCAAGCCACACTCCCATCGCCCTCTGTCTACGGACCTTCAAAACAGCACTATGAGCTGGGGACCACGGGTGTGAAGACAGGAGCCTGTGAGGGTGTTCATATTCAAACAACAGCAGGTGCATGCAACTTTAATGTCGCTCCATCTTTATTGGACAGAACTATAAAGTTACTTAAAAAGAAAAAATTGTTGTAAAATTAATGTATTAACAGTGAAAGTGAAGGCAATGCCACTGTGATCACGGATTATCAATAACAATTCATACAGAAGTCACGGACCTGAACTGGCAGGCTTGAGCTGCTCTGCGCGCTTACAGTGCTTATTCAAAGTATTAGAGACTAATATGCTAATAGCATGTCACACCATTAAGATAAAATTTGCTTTTATTTTCGTTTTAAAAAAAATAGAAAAGTCTCAACATGATCATTTTTGTAATCTTTGTAGAAAGCGTGCTATCAGCTTAAACCATTTATTACTAAAAATGATAAAACTTCAGCTGTCAGAACACATGCGGTTTCTCAATTTGAATAAATGTATGGCAGTGGAAGTTGGTTCCTCTCACATCATTTGATATATTTATGTTTTAACTGGGATATACATATTTACATTTGATGAAATTGATGCCAATGCTGAAAAAGTTCTAAACCTTCCATGCATTCAATCAAATTGTGAATATTCTTTTCTTTCATAAATTGACTTAGTTTTCTATTTAAAAGTCATTTAAGGCGAGTAGGGTGTTTCTCTATGTGAAATATATTGAAAGAAATCATTTTAAAATAAAAAATATAATTCAGCAGACCTAGAGTGATAGTTAAGAACGTTTGCTGCTTTTACAGAGGACCAAAGTTTGAGTTCCAGAACCCAGGTAAGTGGCTCACACCTCCTTTCGACTCCTAACTCCAGGTAATCAGATATCTCTGGACTCCCTCGGCATCCTCCTATGTACACATGCACGCACCCATGCACACGCGCACGCGCGCGCGCGCACACACACACACACAAATTAAAATAATAAATATTTAAGAAAACATAATTCCAGAGAAGATAAGCAGTAAATATTTAATTAGGGGTATAATTATGTCCTATGTTCCAGTGCCTGTGGCTATAACCAAACACCCAAAACTGGTACATCTATAAAGAAAACAGGTTATTTTGGCTCACATTTTTGGAAGCCAGGAAGGTACAGGCTGTTTGTGGAGAGGGCCACATGCTTTTCTCTGTGTAACTGATGAGCATAAAGACAAGGTAACGTCTGAAGGATAAAGAGTATGTCTATCAAGAATGAGGGGCTCTGAGTGACTTATTTTCAGACCATCCATAGGGCTCAAATTCATCCTGCCAAGGCAATGGAACCCTTACACTCTAATTGCCTCTTAAGGACTCCACTGTTGCTCAACAGTACCACATTTGCAATTACACTTTATCATGATCTTGAAAGGGACAAACAACACTCACTCATCACAGTAAGCGAGCACGCTGTCAGGAGGAATCAGTTTTCCTCACTTTGAGAGTATCGTCCTTTTCAGTCAAATGAGAAATATGCTAGCCATCCTTCTTACACGCTTCTAACAGTGAAACTGAAGACCTCCAATTAAACTCAGTGGGTCTCAAAATAATGATAATAACGATGAAGGTCATACCTGTGGAAAGGGGACTTACAGGGAATTTGGGGAGATAATGGGAGGAGACTATGCGCTCTAATAAGGATGCACATTATTTACATGTGAAATCATCAAGAACAAACCCAACAGACATTTTTTAAAAATGAAGCAGTTATGACTAACTTCATCTTTGATCTTAAGAACAGTATTACCCTACATGTGTAAGACATAAGCTTTATACACATTTTAAATAATACACTAAGTGGATAGTGACCATTTACTCACTCGTATTTGGTAAAGAAATTGTCACCTCACCTGCCCAGCAACAGCTGTGAAGTAAGTCCACATGGAGTCATCCGCAGGGGAGTAGCTGTCAGTGTACGCCAGGTACCCAGGGTAACCCCCAGAGAACATATTGGGACTGGCCCCTGGCATTGGCTGGCCCATTTGCATTCCTGGAATCTGACCACTGAAGTTTCCAAACTGTTGAGTGAAAAGCAAAGGTTAGTAATGAAAAGTTAGCCTACAAAACTTAGCTTGAAAGAAAGTATTTATTAGAAATCACCTGAACACACACACACACACACACACACACACACACACACACACACACATGCACAAAAGTGACCAAAACAGTGGTTCTCCACCTTCCGAATGCTGTGACCCTTTAATGCAGTTCCTCATGCTGTAGTGACCCCAAAACATAAAATTATTTCTTTGCAACTTCAGAGCTGTAATTTGACTACATTTATGAATCGTAATGTAAATATGTTTGTTTTCTGATGGTATTAGGCCCACCCCCCATGAAACAGGTCTTGACCCACGGGTTGAGAGAACCACTGCTTGAAAAGAAGAATGTAAGTGTGACTTTAATCAGAACTAAAAGCAAGCATAAACAGAAAGTAAAACCTAGGGCTCCCTCTCTAGCAAACTAAGACGCACCTTTCCAGAAATGTGCTTAACGTAGTGAAACTACAGTCTAAACATGGGAAATCACCAGATGAAGCACCCGCCGTGACAAGAGATGTATTTTTTTTTCTTTGAAAAGCACAGTGAGCAGAAGAAAATAACAATGATTGCAGCCAGTCCTCCTTGATCTTTCCCTCTTTACTTGAAATACAGTTGGATACCCAGAAAACACTTCACGTTGCATTTGTGTAAGTCTACAGAAGGAAGCCATCATTACGGCCATTCATTATTCAATTTTGAACAACTATCTTGCCCTGCATCTTTGCAGCACTACGGGCAAACAAAGACTGCCAGAGGGCAGAAAGAGAAAAGAATTGAAGAATGAGGGAGAAACAGACACACCACTTGGGAATCTGCTGGTAGCTTGCTCAGGTACCTCTGGGCTATGGTAAAGTATAAGGCATGAGGGAAGCACTGGGAGCTGACTCACTGAGCCCCAGCACCATTTACCCATTGCAATGAGTTATCCGAAAGGACCATGTCACTCTCAGACCCAACACCCTACAGAAGCATGTGACTCCAAGGTGATTACTTCCTGTGCCAACACTTTTTTTTTTTAATTTTACGTGCATGAGTGTTTTTTCCTGCATGAGTGGGCACTGAATATTCTGGCACTGGAGATACAGTTGACTGTATCACAGTATCACGGTTGACTGCGAGCATGCTGGGAATCAAACCCTGGTCCTCTGGAAGAGCAGCCTGTGCTCTTAACTACTGACTCATCTCTCCAGCCTCTCCTACCTTTTTTTTTTTCCCCCTGAAGGGATGTTTGTCCCTTCATCTTTGAATGTGAATTTCTGGAAAAATAAAGCAAGTTAGACATGTGCATTGTCTAAGCTTGAGTCACCACGTGTGATAGTTCAGGCAAAGGAAAAAAAAAAAACAAAAAAAACCCCCCAAAACTCTACAGAGAAAGATCCCAAGTACAGTCCACCAAGGAAAGAGAAAAAGATGCAAAAGCCTCTAAAGGTCTGGGGAAAGAAAAAAAAGAAAAAGAATCTAAAACCAAAGGGAAAGATGCCAGAGGTGGAAAGGAGGGTTTCAGGGCTGCCCACCAGGGGTGGCTTTTTCAGTTGACAAAGCCATCAAATGGCCAAACCTAGCACATAGGTCTAGAAAAAAAAAAAAAAAAAAAAAAAGTCCAGCCAGCAAGGAACTTAGCAAATGCCGGGAGGAAATTTGGTGTGCTTGGACTTACCCAAGAGAGCTAGACATACACTGCCACCATCAATCAAAGAGCTGACTCAATGAACAGAGCTTTATTTATACAATAACAAATTGCAGGCTCTCCCAGCACCAGCAGGGACGGGCTGCCTAGTAAATCTCCTGACACAGGTTCTCAGTGGAAGTTCACTGACCAGTTTGCTTGATTCTTGAAAACTTGAAGAAAATGGCACAAATGCTCGATTTACAGCATAATAAACTGAAGGGAATTCCTTCAATGGCTAGCTTCTCTCACCACTCTATATACCTTTGGAAAAGGATATGAAAAAGCTGCCTAAATCTGGGGACTCAACACTCAAGAGAACAAAAGCCCTAAATTAACAGTTGAAACTGGCAAGTTATGCAGCCTCTTTAGGCTGGATGTAGCTCACAATCAACTTTCCAAAGGAGACTGGAAACTGCATCCAGATAACCAACCTTAGGATACAATGAACAAGCAGACCTCCCACATGCAACAGAAAGTTGCAGTTTCTGTCCAGTTTAAACCATCTTGGCCTGAGACCCAACAGATTGTCAGAAATACTCAGATCATTAGCAAAGGGCTGCAAATCTAAGGATTTAAATTAAAAAAAAAAAAAAAAAAAGCAACATTTCTACACTACCCAACAGTCTTTAGTCTTGTAAAAATGAATAGCTGGACCTTAGCTAGAAATCCCTTCCAATTATATTCAGGGCGTCCACCTCCATTTTCCTCAGTTTAGTCCCTGAGGAACATAAAACACAATCGAAGCAACAAGTTCTCATTTTGGAATTCTCTCCAGAGTTCGTGAAGTGTGAACTAATTAAGCTGAGTATGAAGGACAATCAGTTAACATCACTTCTTTTAGAGACTGGAACTTGGACCAGTATGCTAGAATTGATGTGAGCACCCACCGGCTCACCAAGTTCCCTGGGGATGCATCTGGATTTTCTCTTGAGGTTTTAATATTATTGGACAGTCTTCCAGAGATGCTCCCCCACCATCTCGGAAGTTAAGAGAATTGGATCCAGAAGAGATACATTAAAACCCTTGGTCAACAAAATTGCTTATCTTAAGAAGTTACAGACAGTGTTTTTGACAAAGAGCCAGTGAACCACCTTCCCAGTGATACTGGTCACTTCATCACTCTCACACATGAGAGGACCTGCTACTCATCCTCCTGCTGAAACTGGTACCCTGGAGAACCTGGAACTGTGTTTGAATGACAGCCCCAAACTGCTCCGCCTTCCCTTTGGGCTGGCTCTCTGCAGCAAGCTTTCAATCGTAAGTATCGAGCACTGTCCCCTCGGTCACCTTCTGCCTCAAACTGTTGCTGGAGGTTCTTCCTTCATTATTCAGTTCGTAAAGATGCAAGGTCCATATTAGGTTATGGCCTGATACAAACTGCTGGTCCCACACACTGTTCAAAAACTGTGATTAATGTTTCATAACTACATTGTCTATTTATGTAGATAGTTATACATGGCGGGTTTATAAAGAACGCATTAGCTGTTTCTGCTAACAGAGGAATCATAACCATTTATATACCATTTTTTAACTGTTAAAAATGGCTTATATAAGTTTTCCTCGCTAAGTTTTGATGGATGATTTTCTGTTCTGTAATTAGACATACCACTCTGTTTAAAATGTTGGCAGCAAATTGTGAGTTATTAAATTTAAGAAAAAAGTAGCATAGTTAGATATGTTTCTTTTAGAAAAATAAAAAGGCCAACATTTTTCTTCCTACCATTCACATCCATTTTTCCCTTATCAACTGTCAGATTTTTATAACAGAATAGGCCCTGAAGGTGGAATCTTTCCTTAATTTATTTTGAAATCTGAAATTTACATTTTATATATTGGTTACAGTTGGAGTAAATCCCTGGAGTTTTTTTTTTTCTTGTTATGATTTGATGTTTAATCAGTCAGATCTAGAGTTTAAATATTCTCTTAAATATTTTGCAGCAGCTAGTTTAAATATTAAAAGATGCATTTTTGTTGAAACAACTGGCAAACTGAAAATAATACACTCAGAAATGGAAAATTCCATTAATCTTATTTATCAAAGTAATTATAGAACAAGACATCTGAGGTGAATCTTTGGGTAGGAGGTATGGAGACCTTTCCCAGCATAAATGTGTTTTCTTAACTTTGAGGGAGTGGAAACTTGTAATGAAGAGGGCATTTTTTTTTTCTTTCCTGGAAGAAAAAGATCCACAAAAATTTAACTTGAGAAAGCTGGCAAATAAATTACACCTAAACACACATTCTTTACATATATCTACAACTGTATGTATAGTGTGTATTATGTAATAAACCATGATGTGTAATTTTAATGACTTCTCCCTATCCTTATACAATGAGACGACGTTTTTCTTTAAAGACTGCAGTATTCCCGTGTCTCGAGGTTATTTAACTGTGTACTATAGTTTTACATATCGATCCTCCTTGTGTATCTTTGTGTTCTGGATTACCTGTGTCTAAGCACAGCATCTTCACACTGTGCTGTATGGCTGCTGAACTAAGTGCATTTTCCCCATATATGGGGGCCACCTCAAACAATTTAGTTCAATATCATTACTTTTAGTATCATCTTTCCTTTGTTGGTAGGTTGCTATAGAAGAGGCACACCGCAGGGATGCCATTGGTAGCTCCATAGAAATTATGTGAGATGTACATGTACTCTGTTACTATTTTACTGTTGCTTCGGCTTTTAAGACTAGTGAAACTGTGAACGTGTATCTCTTACGCCCCTCATGTACTATCTCATTTTGGTAGTATTAGTTTAAGTCACTTTAATTGTTGCGGAGACCCTCAAGCAACTATATCCTAGATAACACCCTAAAACACACTTCTCATATGATGAATAATTATTACATACAGTTACATAATTCGGCTTGGTTTTTTTGTACCCCTGACACATTTTGTTGGGTATTGTGGTTTTAAACATATTTTAAAAATTAAAACCATAGTGTCAAGATACAAAATTTGGACTTTTGCTTTTCCTGGCACTCAAACCCACAACTAGGTTTGAGGTAAAAACAAACAAACAAACAAACAAACAAATAAATAAATAAAATCTGTTTATAATTGGCAAATTTGTAAGAATCGGTTGAGAAATGAAATGAGGCAAAGATAGAAAACACCACAGTGCTTGAATGTGTTATAAAACAGATACAGATGCTCGCGGGATTTTTACCAAGTAATATACTTTCTTCCATGGTTTATCGGTTAAAAAACATTGTTTATAAAACAATTTTATTATAGCTCTATGCAGAACTTATGTATATGTGTGCTTTTAAAATAAATTTCATATCCAAATGAACTTATATATTAAGATTATAGAACTTAAACTTTAGAGGTAGTGGCCTGGTATCTTTTCTTTAAAAAAAAAAACGCAGTTTCTCAAAATACAAATATATAAAAATTGTAACAACTTGGATCGCCTACATTTCTGTGTATTTAATTCTTAAAACTTATGAAAATACAAATGTTCCTTTCATATTTATAATACAGTATGCATATGTTTATTTATTTTGTTTTCTTTCCTATGACCAAAAATGAGGAACAAAATTCCTTTAGGTCAACTTATGATTTTATTAGTATAGAAATAATGAAATATAAAATTATACAACTTGAGTATTCTTCTTTTATTTTGGTCTTTTGACTTTCTGAGGACAGGACTGTCTACTGTGCCCCAAGACAGCCTAGAACCCACTTCCGTCACAGGCTGGCCTTACACTCTCACCAGTTCTGCCTGGGCCTCCGAAATGCTAGGATGTCCTAGTGAGCTCCAGGTGCTCAGCTAGTTCTAGCTGGGTTTGATTCTTTGTTTACTAATTTATACAAGGCCTCCTGTTAGCTTGGACTAGCCTCCAGCTGAGGATGACCTTGAACTCCTGGTACTCCTGCCCCCACCTCTCAAGTGCTGGGATTTCACGCCAGGTGACCAAGCTGTTTACGTGATCCAACCCAGGGTCTCAAATATGCTAGGCAGGCACGACCTCTACCAACTGAGCTACATCATCAGCTATATTTGATAATCATTAAGCAATCGGATCCTTACGGAAATGCATCTCATGAATTGTGTCCTTTATTAAAGGTGTGCTTCCTATTTTGTTAAGTTCCTACTTTGTTCTATTTTCTTAAGTATAACAAGTATTAAGGTGTGGCCTGAGAAAACACCTTCTCAGTACATTTAAATGACTAATGGGGAGCATATATTAGAAAGTATATAATGCTAGACGGAATCCAAGCAAGTAAGTTCAAACAAACCAGCTTTAGTAATGCGTGTTGAAGCTGAGGGCCTGGAACCAAAAACTACTCCTAAAAATGACCATCACTTACTCCCAGGGGCAGGAATTATTGCCCTGTGGACCATAATTACACGCCATTGTCAACTCTTATATTAACTCTAACAAAATATCAATTTCTCCTTTTAGAGAAAAAAAAAAAATAGCAATGTTCTCTTCTGTTGGCACGTCAGTGACCACTGCTCAGCTCCACTGGATAGCCAGCCTCACTAATGGGAGGAGTGAAAGTCTGGCTTCTTTCGAAAGAGGAAAAGGAAGGATCTACCCACAAGGCAGCAGTAACTAACTTGCAACTCTCAAAGGTGCTTGAGGGTAAGAATAACCCGCCCCCCTCCAAAAGCAAGGTCTGGAGAGTCAGATTGCTCTTGGTAGTACAGAAAAGTTTCGGAGGCGCTGAAAGTACACCTCAATTCACGAGCAACTTAAAAGACAAGCAGTGGTTATAAAAATACAAATAAATGAATAAACTCAACTCGGGAGGAGGATCGCTTGAAAAACCGCTCGGGCTGGGGATAAATCACTAAAGGTAACCGGAACGAGACGTGTCTCTCCATTCTGATGAGAACATTTATAAAACACAAACAGTTCACACCAAAGGCTGCACGAGGGCGGCTCTGGAGGCTCGCCAGACTCCCCTAGGCGCAGGCCCCGCCCAGCCCCAGAGTCCGGCACCGCGCAGAGTCCGGGCGTCGCCTGGTACCGAACAGAGGGCACCGCCAGGACCAGAGGGTGAACCCCGCACCGCGACGCGGCCCGCGGGGCGGCCGCGGCTGGCGAGGACTTACCGCTCCTCCGTATCCCGGGTAGGCCATGACCAGGCGATCGCCGGTAGGTCGACGTCAGCGCGGAGGCGAGGAGGGGACAGGTGTGCGACAGGTGCTGGTCTGGAGCGCACTGCCGCGCACCTCCGCCGCCCGCAGCCAGCTCCGCCCGGAGCCCCGCCCCCGCCCGGGCCAGCCCCGCCCCCGCCCGGGCCAGCCCCGCCCACCTCGGCCAGGAGTGGCTGCAGCCTGTCCCGTGGATCCCACCGCATCCCTCTCACTGGCTCTTTCAAGTTCTCACCAGGAGCCTCCCCCACAGCAATTTCCCCACCCTCCTCGGAAAGCGGCTCCAGGCCGTCGTCGCCTGGAGTTTTTCTCCGCGGAAACCTCAAACCCCACCAGCCCCTGACTTCTTTTAACCTCTCCGTACATTCTTCGGACCAGACGGTTGCAGCTTTGCAGTCAGTCACGGTTCTAATGTGCGTACAGTGGATGCCGCATCAGCTCTTTGAAATGACCGCAGGGGCTGTGCCGCGTTTGATGCCTAATTAATGTGGGAAAGGTGATTCGCAGTTTTGTAGATAAGCGGTGGCCGCAGTTGCCGGAAGTAGCAGATAAAAATGCAGGCTATCTGGCTGAATTTGATTTTTGAATAGATTTTAAAATATCTGTACCTCCCAAACACTGCACAGGAATACACTTCTGCTTTTCAGAATGCTGTTTACATGTAATGGGATCTTTCATATTATTTGGCAACGTTACCAGTGATTCAACTTTTGAGCAAACTCTTCAGACATGCCACCTGATTATAAACAACATCAGGAGAACATCTCCTTTTTTTTTTTTTTCATTTTGTAAAAAGCAACGACAAGCCTGCTTTCTCTCTGAAACTCGTGATATTTGTGTCTCCAGGTCTAGAATTCAGAATTGCATGGAAGCTTTAGAATTAGCTTACAAACAAAAAGACAGAGTTGATACCATATGGATTTCTTTTTGAAAAAAGGAAATATCTAGCATTAAAAAATAGGACCATCAAAAAATGTTAAGTATTAACAGAGGAAATCAACCTTGCAGAGCTGAGTAGTTTAACAATCGCTCTGCTGTACTTCAGCGGAAGAACATTCTGGACCTTGTGAAACAATTTTATCAGAAGAGGCAGAAAGAAGCAAGTTGCTAACATCCACCCTACTATTGAGAAAGTTTCTGCGTCAGTGCCTACTTTTTGTAGCGAATATTGGGATATATTAAAAGAGAAGTAGAATAAAAACCTGCTTGACAAAATGAATCAGAGTTTGAGTCAGTAGGTACCAAGTGATAAACTATTAGCAGAAGAAATCCATGCCAAGTTTTCTTCTAATTGACAAACTGCATATTCAAAGCACTTAGGAAAGATTGTAGTTTCAACGCTAATCCAAACGTAAGATCAGAATTCTTCTATGCTTTCTTTTTATCAAAATAGTTTCACTGATGCACTGCCTTTCTGTATGCTGAGACTCAGATTTCCATAGGTCTGTGCATGTCCACAGGACTGCTTTCAAAGACAGACAGCATTTCTCCTTCAGGGTGAGATTTGGAGTCCTTTGCTAAGAGCGCTTTTAAAGAGACTAAACTTACCTAAACATGGACTTCCTTGGAGGCTGATAACAAACCCACTGCTTACGTAACTGAGCCCTCTCTGGGCCGCTCCCACTGGTCTCAGGGATCCTCACCCAGGCGGCTATTGTCCTGCCAGTAATGAAGTCCTTTGTTTCTGACCCAGGAATCCCTCCCCTCTGCCAGCTTGTATGAAAACTGGCAAGCTTGTTGTTAGCTTGCAAGTAGGACAAAATACCAAATACTGACAATCTCTTTCTTAGAGAAAAGGCAGCGGAGGTACATACAGAAAAGATTTTTCAACTCCATGGCCTATAGCAGGCTTTCTAAACCCAAGGTTTAAACTACAAATTTTCCAATATTATAAACTGTGTTTTGAAAAAAATTCACTTTCGCCCACACGTTTTTGTAAACATAATTATAACTTGTCTCCATGATTCAGTTAGCATTGTATAGGCAACCATGTTTTAAGAAGGTGTGTGTGTGTGTGTGTTTGTGTGTGTGTGTGTGTGCGCGCGCGCGCGTTTGGTAACTTTATTAAATATACATGTGGGTATGTATGTGTGTGCTTTAAATCCCATGCTTTCCTGTTTATAAGCAATTCATTTTTCCACAACATGGCTTTCGGTGTAGATTGAACATCAAGTGACAGACACTGTAAGTTGAAAAGGGCTATTCTTCAATACAGGACTACATCAAGCATGTACTGTCATTTCTTCCATCTCACTGGAGTGAAAAGTAAAGTGGGTTGTAGTTTCACCTACCCACAGCTACACAGCTGGCATCAGAGATGAAAGCAGAATTCAGACAGTTTGCCTGTATGTGGACTGAGAAAGAGCACCTAGGTTATCCTCTGGCTTCTGTATGCACAACTTCCTCCTCACTACACACACACACACACACACACACACACACATTAAAAAAAAATCACACACATATACACACAGTAGGATTTACCAGTTGTTTGGATTTTCCATTTAATTGTGCGCTGAAGACTGAAGAAGGAGCTGTTCATTTTAGAGGAGGCCAAATCAGCAGTCAGTACTGGAATTATTCGGTCTGAGCATCTGTGAGAACAAGAATATACTATGTCAAGTATATTGTTGAGTTTAGTGAATTTAGAGTAATAGTTTAGCTGGTGACATTAAGGGGACAGCCTCTTAGTGAACTGTGTTGTTCTCTTCAGATATAGCATCTAGAAAAGTATAGAAAAATATAGCATGAGAAAAGGCAGAAAACTTTATTTTTGATAGAAGACCACTCTAAAAATGGACCTAAAAGGAAAATGAGTTAATTCATATAATGGAAATGAAAACATCTACAAAGTTAATGAGTTCTTGGCATTATTGCCTATAAAAATAACGAATAAGAAAGATAGCACAGTGACCTGGTAGTTTGAAAGTGTAGCCTGTCGTATAAGTAAAGCAGTTCTGAGATCCTTTAAATCTATGTAGCACCTGAGGTATTACATACACAGCAGCTCTGTCAGCCCAGGCTTCTATGGAAATAGATTCCAGCCTTGGTAGATAAAACAATAGGAATTTATTTCTCATTGTTCTGGAAAATGGCATTTTCAGACAAAAATGTTCTAGGGGCAATTGTTTGTGATAGATTGATCCCTGAGTTGCAGACAGCTGCTTTCTCCCTATGTCCTAATACCAAGCTTTTTTGCTGAATAAGAGTGGAAAGAAAGGAAGAAGTTTCTATCAATCTCTTCTTATAAGAGTAACAACTGAACAGGAGGACCCAACCCTCATTACCTCATCTAAATAATGGGTCTCACCTAAAGACCCAAATACTATCACATTAGGGCATGTGACTTAAATATATAAATTTGAATAGGTCTGAATCTGTAGCATATAAAATCTGAAAGTTGAGGAAGAGACACTTAGTCGTAATTTCTACTGTTATACTGTCACCCTGAATCCAATGTGCTATTTATTTATTTACATTATGCTAAAGTGCATTCACATGGACTTCTTAAATATATATGTGTAAGTCTTGTTTTATTTTCTCAGATGAGGAGGATGGGATGAGAGCTGTACCCAAACTGTGTGAATACTCAGCTTGGGCTGAGCCCAGAGCATTTGTTTTTCTGTTCTAACCATCCCTAGGCTTAGGTCTGGAAGGTCCTAGCTTCTGTAGAATCTAATATTCTGCAAACCCAGACCTTGAAGGCCTCAGCTTCCAGCCTCTGGTGCTAACCTAGGCCTAGAATGTTTCAGCCTCTAAGACCTAAAGCTGAATAAACTCACTCTTTCTGCTTCTTTCTGAACTCTTGCTGGCTTGTTCAACTCATTTGTTCTGGCTCAAAACTTCTCTCCAAGCTGACTGATTCAATCTTGCTTTTCTCTCAGCTTCTGACGGAATTGCTCTGCTTGGCCTCAAACTAACTCTGGCAATATCTTCGAATCTTCTGGCTCCTCATAACCTGGCTCATTTTCTCTGCAACCTGTCTCTGTAAAACTGTCCCGGTAAAAATGCCACGCACACAGCTCTTCACACGAACCTCACCGCCTCCTCCTACCACCACTGATCCTTCCTTTTCTCTCCTTGAGAGTTGGGTGTATTCTATCTCTGACTCATTCTGTCAAATCTTTCTCTAATTCGCCACTTGTCTGTCCCTCACTTTCACACACGGCTGCTTCCTTCTATAAACTGATGTTACTTTCATGGTTTGAGAGTAAAGATGGGTACTAAGGGTGTGTCTGTATTCCAGCCAGATCATACTGTAATCCAGGACATGTCTGTATTCCAGCTGGAGTATATTGAGCTAGAAGGTCTTTGCATGAGATCCCTTGCCAGAGCAGCCATGTTGCTGGATTAAAATTTCTCTACATATATATGTATATGTACACACAATTATGCATACTTTCTCCAGAAATTAATTTGTATATTTTTATGTGCTATTGGACAATACAAAATGAAGTCACTCATTTGCAATTTTATTATAAGCTCACAATGGCTTTTTTTCAGCAGCCAAATAAAGGTTACTTTCCACCAGTTAAGACAGAGAGAAAGAAAAAAAAAAAAGAAAGAAAACAAGTTCTATTTGCCATTTATTAGACAAACCAGCCACTTGAAAAACTGACCTTTCTGTAGCTAAGCTTTCAACAACAGTTTCCTGCTTCTAATTGTAGTAATATTAAGTACTGTGTTGGCAGAAGCACAAACTTTAAGGCAATTTAGCAAATCGTGCACATATGAGAAGTGTCAACAGGGCTCTTCACAAGGCTTCTGAATACACACATCTTGCCTTGGTTATTTAGCCTGTTAAGCAATTTGGATTCGATGCAAACTCTTAAGAAATATTGATCACAATATGTGTATACAACTAAGGCTCAGCAGGAGCTATAACACTATAAATAGGAACCCTTGGAAAGCGATCTGCTGCCCGGGCAAGGCTGTGGTAACTTTTACTTTTACTACACGCTGCACGTTTGTGAATATCGATTTTTGTAGAGATGTCGTAGTTTCCTATACTTGCAAAACTGAGTCCATAGACCCATGTAGGCTAAACATTTTGTTGTCAAGTACTTACGCTCATTTGTTGGTAGTTTGTTTATATATAATTAAATAAGTCAGTACAACTATTCCAAAACATTTAAAATAGTATCAGCAAAAAAAAAAAAAAAAAAAAAAAAAAAAAAGCTCTGATTCTGAAACAGATTATGAGCTGGCTAAAAATCCTCAAGTGCTGAGTATGGGTGTGTGAAATAGAATCACCACAACTTTGTAGAACCATTAGTACAAATAGCCAGGTACTAAGAATGAATAAATTGAAATCCACCTACATTCAATGCCCATTACAGCTTTGTGTGCTTTGTCATGTTTGACCTATATTGCTCTCTTGTGAAAGGAATAGTCGTAGTGACACTGTAGAGAGAAATTGGAGTGTTAATAAATGGCTTGCTGAGGAAGACACAGCTCGGAACTGTTAGCTAATGTTTTTTGTTTGTTTGTTTTGTTTTTAAACAAGGTATGACACGATTATTCTTCATGTGAAGAAAACAGCCCACGAAGCTATGCATTTTCTAATAGGCAAGTGGAATTCCATTCCAAGATCTTTTAAAGTGGCTTAAAATATGATAATGGAGTGATAAGATACTTAATTGTTCAAAGTACCCCAAGTTAAAATTTTTAAACAAAAACAAAACAAACAAACAAACAAAAAAAAAAAACCCTAGGTTTTTCTCTTTATGAAGGCTTATGTACTGTTGTTGCCAAGGGGCCAGGAGTAGAGCTGGTGCCAGGAGGGGCGCAAGAAACCCAGTAAAGTGCCAACCAACCAGCATCCATAGAATTGTTTGCCTTCGATATTTGCTTTGCTTTCTACTCTCTACCCATAAGGCTCGGCTGCTATCCCTTCCACCAAAGCACTATACATGGCACATACAAACACATAAAGGGACTGTAGTTAAGTTTTAATTACAAAGGTATTTACATAAATAAAAGACACGGTAAGGGATAGTCCAGTATCCTGCTGAAGGTGTCATTAAACCATTTCTATCTGAAGATGCAAGACAAGGGTGATCAGGGTTACTGAAGCCTGGTTTACAGATCCTGTGTGGAGGAGGAACACTGACTGATGACCCTCAGTGTTTTAATGCGTGATGAACCAGATGAAACACGGTTGAGGAGATAAATACTCAAATCTTATTCTATTCCCTGACTCTGATATTATTCTGCTAGTGATTTCTAGTCAGAAAACAGATGAAGAAGAAATCCATGGAGGCAACCCATCAAAGTCAGCTTCCTAGTCACAGAGCAATGCAGAGAAGGATGGAGGGTTACCCAGACCTTATCAAATGCTGAAGAAAAACAACTTCTAAAGCTTCACATGTGACCCCAACTTAACAACTCTTAAATTAGAGCCTCAGCCTATATGACTCTTGGTTGAGTAATATGATTTGGAAGTAAGGGTGTAAGATAGAGGGGAAAGTCCAGATAAGTTACAAAAGGTAAATATTTATGGAATAATTATATTGAACCGTGCATCCAGTTTTTGTTTTGGTTTGGTTTGGTTCTTTGGGTTTTTTTTTTAAATGTGTCCATATGACTTTCATTAAATATAAACAGAATATTTGAGCGAATAGTCTATAAATTGGTGTGGCAAGACAAGGAGGAGAAACAGAGTAAGAGAGGTAGAGATAGAGAGATAAAGGAAGAGAAAAGAGAGAGTGAGAGAGAATATGAACTCAAAGCTTAATCCAACCAACAAGATTACAATAAAGACTTGGGCTACCCATTACATAGGGAACTATGGTAACTAGTCCAGGAGAAAGAGAAGGAGGAAAAGAGAAGAGAAAAAAATGTTATCTTGCAACAGAATATCTATATGAGAGTATGCCCATAAAGTGTCCAATAAAACCAAACTGGGTGATATAAGAAAATATACTTACATGAAAAGAAGATATAAAGTGTCTTGTATGGGAACATATGAAAAAGAAGTGTAAAGATAAGAAATATTAAATTCTTATATGTCAATTTTCTGTATAAACTATCTTTCTGAGCATTATTTTAGATGAGTCTTGGGTAAGTTAAGAACTGGTTAGAAAGAAACAAGGCTTGGGTCCCGGAAAGCCATTTTCTCAAATGATGTGTTGGCCACACCACGCAGAAAATAACTTAGCAACAATGCTGCAGCATCCTTTTTTTCTGATTATTTTAGATTTTTCTCAATACTGTTTCATCAGTTCACTCCCACTCTGATGATGACAACAGAACACGTCCATTGGTTTTCTCGGCAGTTCCTATACTAACTCTGGAAGGAACATTGCAAAACTATTTAAAAGATTTGGCAGTTGAGTGCAGGCTCAGCTGCTGGGTACAAAACATCGCCATGCATCAGGCAACTTCCTTGAATCTAGGTTTGTCCTTTTGCAAAATGAGGCTAACTGCTGTCAGAAGATGAACTAGCCCCATTCGTGCTGTGACAAAGAATCCAGCTTGATACGTATAAACAAGCAAATTTATTAACTCAGGTAACCCCAGTACAATGTTGGCTTCTGAGCAGGCTTTATTTGCCTTATCGGCCGTTTTCCCAAGATGGATATCACTCCAGCTG